TCTTGTGTCCTCCGTGTGTCAAAGGTTCCGGGCAATCGTTTATAAAGGGGTTACTAGCTTGCTCCCAGGGGGCTCCTATCCCTCGTTGTTTTGCAGATTCTGCAGCGACCTGAGCTGGCCGGGTCCGTGGAATTTTACCTATGTATACTAATTACTTTTGTGCTGGACGGGGAAAGTCACATAATGTCAAATCAGACGACTCAAAGTACGTGGGAAACAAGTGTAGGGACCTAAGGGGGTATAGTTGCTTGCTAAGCACAAGTTCTAACAATAAGGGTGAAGGCCACAAGGGGTCTTGTCAGTGCAAACAGCACAACACTAAAAAGGGGGTAGGGGTACTGACTTTGCTACATTTCTTAATCTTTGAAATTGTATCTTTAAAGCTAGATCGTAATGAATGTTTATACTGGGAAGGCTAACCCGGTCAACAAATGCCCGATGTGTTGGCCAGAAGCGCAAATATTGCAGCCATGCTGTGAATGGACACAACTCAATTACATCTTCGGATGAACGCAAAATAAGAGGAAGAAGATAAATGTTTATTATAATCCTGTGACTTTTAAGACTTAAAATACACTACTCATCTTTAACAATCATTATCAAGTGCTTTGCTGACTGATCTGGGTGATCAAGTTTTTCCATATCTTATGATCTCTGTGTGTTTGAGCCTGGCAGCATGTGTGTGTCTGTTTGTTGCATCAGTGAGTGTTGTGTTGTGTGTATGTTTATATGTGTGTGTGTTGTGATTATATATGTATGTGTTGTGATTATATGTGCAGTGTTTATGAACGGCATGCTTGTGTTGAGTCTGTGTGTATGCATTGTGTCTGTCTCTATTAGTTGCATCTATGTGTATGTGTTGTTTATGTATGCCTTTGTATGTTATGTCAGTGCATGTTGTCTGCGCGTATGTTGTGTCTGTGTGTACATGTGACTGTGTGTGTTTTTTGTCTGTTTGTAAGTGTCGTGTCTCTGTATATGTGTTATATCTGTGATTGTGTGTATGCCTGTTTATGTTATGCGCCTCTGGGTGTTTAAGGGTGGTGTGTGTGTGTGTGTGTGTGCGTGTCTGTGATGTGTGAGTATTTTTGGATCTGTATTTGAAGGTTTGCATTTATCATCCATGCCTTTGTATTTTTAATTTACATTTATACAATTAATTTTGACATAAACATAAATTGCTTGATATAGAAAAATGCAACTGCCGTATAATGACTCCGCCATTTGCTGACATCTTTCTATACCACACCCAAAAAAAAACCCATAAAAAATCTTCCATTTTCCCCTCTCTCCCCTTCCTTTAACGTCTGTAACTGTCACATGTTCCAGTCTGTCTGTTCTAATTAATTTAGTGATGTTAAGGTGGCGCGGTGATTTATGTTACAGGCGTGAGGGGAAGTTAGGTCCAACATGATGTGTATAAGGAGATACTCCGAACGTCACTCAGGCGCCAGTCCTTCACTGTTCTGGTTTTACGGAACCTCACGCAAGACCCCTGCATCACGTCCTCGTCTCCGCGCTGAGGCACACCACAACAGCAACCATCCATAGGCTGGCCATCCATGTACATCCTCGGTTAACCCTCAGTGTCGTCGTCACCGCGCTGAGGTACACCACAACAGCAACCATCCATAGGCTGGCCATCCATGTACATAATCGGTTCACCCTCAGTGTCGTCGTCACCGCGCTGAGGTACACCACAACAGCAACAGCTCATTGGCTGGCTAAGCCTAAATGTCTGACAAAACTAGATCCTACGGCACACAAAAAAGCTCAAAATCTGACCATCACAATTTGTATTGAACGGAAAAAGACCAAATGTCCACACCCAAAGACCCCACTCGCCCGAGTGTTTGGACCAAACTGATAACGATATGCCTGACGCAGGATGTAAAATTCTGTCAGGCTAACGGCTCGTCAAAGAAATCTAACGTGGGAAGAAAAAAAAGAATGTACCTATTCGTATGGTCACAAAAGTCCAAAACCCACGGGCTGCTCCCCGCTGACTTCCTGAGGGCACAGCCCTTGTCGAGCGGGAGGCCTGATACGGTTGTGAGGTTAAGCAGGCATGTGCAGGACGTGACGATTCCTTGGGTGAGCCCAGAACCAGAGCGCCATGTGCCGGCTCTGCATACATGGAAGCCTCCTTGGATGGCGGGGAATGCCCATGATCTGCCCCTGCCTTCCCTTGAGGGCTAACCGTTCCACAGGGTGCTGCCCCAAAGGGATACTCCGGGGGCAATACCTGCGGAGAAGGAGACAAAGTGGACACCACACAAATCAGGCATCGTCTCGACCCACACAAAACAATGGTCACAGTCATCCTAGAAATAGGCCTGACGTCTTCCTTCGAAGTCAGAGTACAGCTGCCCATGAGGCAGGGAACAGAAAAACGGTTGTACACGCAAAAATCAGGTCCAGGTGAATGCCAAAAGTCCAAGCGGACGATTAACCGGGACCTTCCGCCGGAATTCACAGCCGGTGATCGATAAAAAAAAAAAAGTGATATTAAAAACATTCAGGCATATGAGGCTGGTCACATTTTTTAATAAACTCTCCTCAGTGGGTGATGTGGTCAACATCACTCCAGCCACCTTTACTTCCCAGGACTTTACCTGGTACCCATGTAAGGCTGGGTTGACCTAGAAGCCAGGATCATGTTTGAAAAAAATCTGACACTGCAGATTTGTACCCACAACCTTTGGTTGTGCGGGTGAGCATTTAGCCACTACACCTATGTGGCTCCCCAGTTTAGTGATTTGCTTACATTTAATTGCAAAATATGTACTGGCAAATGCACTAGTATTTAATGTTTTCCCTTGCTGATATATAACATTTCATTTACAGTCTGTTTTTAGTTCATTTAGACTTGCAGTGGGTGGTATTAACATTTTGAAAATAAAACGGATGAAGTCACCACTTTTAAGACAGCGGAATTGTATGAGACTACCCAGGAATTTTCCAGGTCAACAAGTGTTGCAGAAAAGCTGGATGCTTTGAACAAAAGCTGTTAATTTTACAGCTCTGCTACACTATAAATAGGCACAATGGAGATATATTTGTCTAAACACCTGATAAACACAAAGGGGAGAAATATTAATAGTATATAGTATGGAGCAAAACAGAGATATGAAAATATTAAGAAAAAATAATAATAATGTTGGGTTAGCTTTCATAACATTAAAAAAATCTGTAGGGAAAAAAATAAGTTTAACTTAGTGTTAAACTTAAAATTACTAATAAGTTATCCTTAATTGAATAAAAGTATTCAATAACTGGTGCCTGGGGGCAAAAGAGAAAGTTAAATATTAAGACAGAATCATTAATGTAAAGCCTAGAGAAGTCTGGACAATAAGGAAGCAAGGAGAACGTCTAACTGAGGTCCTTGAGATGTACAGAAAAAGTCTTGTTTCATGGAAACCAAGCCAGCAAAACATGCAAGTTCCGGTGAGACCAGGTATTGAAAGAGAGTTGCCCAAAGATGTTGAATGTGTCAGCTGAAAGGCATAAACATCATAGCTATGCTGTAAACAAGCACAGCGTATCTACATCACTCGGACGAACAATGACGGAAAAGAAGAAAAGTTAGTTATTGAATCCAGTAAAAATGATGCAGAAAAAATATTTCAGCCACATTAAAAGACACGACAGTAACGAAAACTACATTAAAGGTAAAAGTGCAAGGAGGGAGCAAGAGATAGACAATGATATACAAGTGGGAGGATAACATCAAGAAATCAATGATCAGCTGGCTGAGAGAAAGAGAGAGAGAGAGAGAGAGAGAGAGAGAGAGAGTAAAACAGGGCAAGAGTCAGAGAATGTTAGAGATCCATTTCAGCCAAACTTGATTGTGGAGAGTGTTAGAGATCCATTTCAGTCAAACTTGATTGTGGAGAGTGTTTAAAGATCCATTTCAGCCAAACTTGATTGTGGAAAGTGATAGAGATCCATTTCAGCCAAACTTGATTGTGGAGAGAATGTTAAGAGATCCATTTCAGCCAAACCTCATGGTGGAGAGAATGATAGAGATCCATTTCAGCCATACTTGATTGTGGAGAGTGTTAGAGATCCATTTCAGCCAAACTTGATTGTGGAGAGTGTTATAGATCCATTTCAGCCAAACTTGATTGTGGAGAGTGTTAGAGATCCATTTCAGCCAAACTTGATTGTGGAGAATGTTAGAGATCCATTTCAGCCAAACTTGATTGTGGAGAATGTTAGAGATCCATTTCAGCCAAACTTGATTGTGGAGAGTGTTAGAGATCCATTTCAGCCAAACTTGATTTTGGAGAGTGTTAGAGATCTATTTCAGCCATACTTGATTGTGGAGAGTATTAGAGATCCATTTCAGCCAAATTTGATTGTGGAGAGTGTTAGAGATCCATTTCAGCCATACTTGATTGTGGAGAGTATTAGAGATCCATTTCAGCCAAATTTGATTGTGGAGAGTGTTAGAGATCCATTTCAGCCAAACTTGATTGTGGAGAGTGTTAGAGAGCTATTTCAGCCAAACTTGATTGTGGAGAGTGTTAGAGATCCATTTCAGCCATACTTGATTGTGGAGAGTGTTAGAGATCCATTTCAGCCATACTTGATTGTGGAGAGTGTTAGAGATCCATTTCAGCCAAACTTGATTGTGGAGAGTGTTAGAGAGCTATTTCAGTCAAACTTGATTGTGGAGACGGAACCTCCCTTATTAACTTTCATCAGTTTTCACTTTTACCGTTATCATCAGTTTTCACTTTTACCGTTATCGACAGTTTTCACTTATACCGCTATCATCAGTTTTAACTTTTACCGTTATCATCATGAGGAAAACAGTTTGAGGCACTCTGTTCTTAGCACTGGCTGTTGTCATTTTGTGTAAGCATCTGACCATTTTATCTGAGTTCAGAATGTTGTCTCTCTGTAGGATTTTAGAATAACTTAAAGAATGAATGTTTTACAGAATGCAATTGTTTAAGACAGTATTATTTTTTTTTACATGATTCTACTTTTAGACTCGTACTGTATGCTGAAAACTGGAACTAAGCCAGGTCCAACAAAAGATGTTAGTTTCTATGTCTGCGGCCACTGCAAATTTAGCACTCATGCCAAGTGAGTTTGCATTTTAAACACTTTCATTTAAAAAAAATTCTTACCACTTTTAACATTCATTAACATGTGTGTGCACTGCCCTCACCCCCTGGCTGTCCATCTGCAAAGTTTAACTGGGTATGTAAAAAAAAAAAGTGAATTTGAACTCTGTAAAGGTGGATTAACATGGCATGACATAATCATTAGTGTGATGCTTTTGAAATTAAATACTATCTAATAAAGAAGTGATGAACAGATTTTAGCATTGGATAGGACATTGAATTGTAGCTCAGCATTTTGACAGGATACAGCCTTTTTATTTCTTCTTCTTCTTCTTGTTCACCGGCTGTGAATTCCGGCGGTAAGTCGCGGTTGTTCGTCCAAAATGGACTTTTGGCTTTTACCTTGACCTGAGTTTTGCGTGTACATCCGTTTTACTGGCTTATTTGTTTGCAGTACTCGTTCCCCGCCTCTCCGGCAGATGTACTCCGACTTCGGAGGAAAGCCTTTTTATTAACCCATGCCATGTATATCAAGCTGTACCACAACATGCCAGCCATGTGACTTTTTATGGAGCCTGATGCCCTTTACCTTTCCTTTGGGCATTGTACTATAATGTTTCACAGGAGATACCAATGTGACAAAATAATCATAATGCCAAATCATGAACTTTTTACTTTCAAAGTGGCAACTTTTTTGAGGAAGTCAGATTTCTCTAGTATGTTCTGACCAAATAGTAAAACAATTAGTTTCGTGGGACACTGCAGTCTCATTGTTGTGTGGTCATCTTTGTTTCCTAATTCTTATGAAGGGAAACCAAGAAGTAAATTCATTCGCCCACTGTGCATTACTTTGGATTGAAAGAGTTAACAATGAAATACCTAAAACCAAAATGGGAGAATCGTTAAAGCACTGGCTTGAATCTATATCCATGTGAGCTGTGCTGAATCATGGCTTGTTAGATTCTCATACTCCATTCCGCTGATCAGAAGTTTCAGTACTGCTCGTACTCAGCTTACTGCTTTCTGAGACTGGAGAGAGGAAGAACTCTGCAACAGTCCTAATGTAGATAGTATTGGTTTGAGGGAAGTTCTCTACACATACTTCACTCCATTAGTAGCAAGCTCTGATCAAGATTCATCCAAGCTGGACACTGACCTATGTCTTCTCAGCATGAGTGCCCAACCTATGGGTTGCCACTGCAAACTGGGTTGTCAAGGGTTTCTGTGGGGTCACCAGGCAGTGCTGAACTATGACAATTCTAAAAAGGAGAAAATCAGACCCACCAGAAGGACACAGAAGTCCACTGCTGTAAAAGTCTAACATGCAAAATGAACAGAGTAATTTTTCTGTTTTGGTAATCCAAATCGCAGGTCTGCAGGATGATTACTGTTGACTCCGAAAGATTTAGCCCGTGGCCGATGAGATTTTCAATATATGGAAGTGAGGTTAAACAGTCATGAGCAGGACATGACGATTCCTTATTTGATGATTCCTTGGTACCAGAGCACCATCTATTGGCTCTGCATTTATGAGAGCCTCCTCGGATGGAGGGTAATGCTCATGTTCTGCTCCTGCCTTCTCTCGAGGGCTGACCAGCATTATGTGGCTTCTCTGGACTGACCAGATGTGGGGCACCACCTGTGACCTGGGAAACAAAGATGACCACACAACAATGAGACTGCAGTGTCCCACGAAACTAACCGGGAAGGCTAACAAATGTCAGATGTGTTGGCCAAAAGACGCAGATATCGCAGCTATGCTGTTAACGGGCACAATACAATTACATCTTTGGATGAATTCAGAAGAAGAAGAATAAAACCAATCAAGGATTTTATTTAATATATTAAACAAATTGAATTGAGTAGATTTATCATTTCTGTTATTGAAACTATAAATAAAGGGTTATGTAGGCTGGATATTTTTTAGAAACCCAGTATTTTACATCTTGTCTGTAGTAATAATATTGTCAACTTGTATTCAACAGATTGCCACCTCTTAACTGTTCCATCCACAAGAACTCTGTTGTTGAACTTCAATCATTTGTGCACGAAAACAAAAATCAAGAACAGTTAAGGTGAGGTACTTTCTACAGAACTGACAGATATGCAATATTGGTGTATTATTTTGTACTGTTAAGATGAGGTACTTTCTACAGAACATGTAAACAGCTGAAACTGAACTGGTGCCTTTCATAGAACTATGTAAATGGCTGAAACTGAACTGGTGCCTTTCATAGAACTATGTAAATGGCTGAAACTGAACTGGTGCCCTTTCATAGAACAATGTAAACAGCTGAAACTGAACCCATGACCTTGATAGAACAATGTAAATGGCTGAAACTGAACCCGTGGCCTTCATAGAACAGTGTAAACAGCTTAACCACTTTGCCATGGAGAACCCTATTGTTACCTAAGCTGTCTTGATTGTTTTAAACTAAACAACCCTGAAATGAATTACGGCTGACTGACTGACTTTCTACCCCACCAGGATATCACACAAGCGATAAACACCCGATGACACAAAGTGCCACCATGCGGATGAGGATCACCGTGGAGAGGTCCCAGAAACCGCGTTCAGACATTTGGCCATATTTATGGCCTGCCTATATTGTGGCCCCCGGCAAAAGCCAGGGTGGAGCTTCAAATAAAAAATTTCATCCTGAAAAGGACAATAGAGAATATGTTAACATGAATTGACTGACTGACTGACTTTCTACCCCACCAGGACATCACACAAGCGACAAACACCCAATGACACAAAGTGCCACCATGTGGATGAGGATCGCCGTGGAGAGGTCCCAGAAACCACGTACAGACAATTGGCCATATTTATGGCCTGCCTATATTGCTGCCCCTGGCAAAAGCCAGGGTGGGGCTTCAAATAACAAAAAAATTCGTCCATTCGTCCTTAAAAGGACGAAACTTTAATTTACTATATGTTGTAACATGAATTAAGATTGAGGCTCGAGATGGCTTTGTTGCTGGTTTTACAGATCTTCATTCAAGACTTGTGCAACACATCTGCGTCAAGCGCCACAGATAATGGCTCACATGAGTATAAACCGAGCTGGCAGGGGATTTTAGAGTTGGTGTTACAGCCCTCAGTTAAAACATCTGTTGAGGGAAAGAGCAACTGAACTGCTGAGATTCAGCCCTAGGCCAAGAGATTTACTTGCAGTTTAGATGAGTTAGATCCCCTGAAAGTGGTATCTCGCGGTATAGTCCTGTTGTCGTCACTCGTGCTGAGGTAAACCATGACAATCTGCCACTGTCAATCAGCTAATTAGGCTCAAATGTCAGTCTATACACGACTCACGGCATAACAGCAAAGGCCTAAATGTCAGACCGTGAGAAAGATTCAGATGTCCATTATCATTGGCTCCTGTTGTCAGAGTGTCAGGATCAAACAGGGGAAGCCATGCCCGAAGCATGCGTTTTCCATACTGTTGTGGTAAATATTCAGATGAAACAACGTTAAAAGTGAATAGCATGCTGAAAAAGAATGAACTTTTTTTGTGTGTGGTCTTCGAAGTCCTGAATCTGTGTGCTGCACCCTGCTGATCTCTGGGGGGGTGCAGCCCAGGATGAGTGGGAAGCTCAGTATATGGTTGTGAGGTTAAGCAGTCAAGTGTAGGACATCATAAGTTCTTGGGTGAGCCCAGGACTAGAGCATCATATGTCGGCTGTACATTTATGGAAGCATACTTGGATGGCTGAAAGGTGCAAATGTTGCAGCTTTGTTGTAAACAGGCACAACACAGTTACGTCACTCGGACAGGCGAAAAGAAGAAGAGCAAGATTGTCAAGTTTTTCTTTGTGTTCTTCAGTAAACTCCTAAGACTAAGTATAAAGTGTTTGTTTGTTTGTTGGCTCTAACAAAACAGGCACTATTTCCGATGTCCTGGCAGAACTACTGGTGAATCCTGGTGTGGACATGACACAGTTTCAAAAGTATGTTCATGTTTTATTCTTTACGTGAGTGTGTGAGAGAGGGAGATGGATGAATGAACATTATTTTCAGAGTGTCACAGTTTGAGACTTTCAGGTTGTTCTGACAGTCACCCCTTTAACCATTCATGTCACTCAGTAGTTAATGTTCTATATTATGCTTATAAAATGAATTTTGAAGTACATACACACATGAATATATAGGCACATATACAGGTCCATGGGAGTTTGTGGTGGGGGAAAAGAGAGATTGGGTACAGTTAAGTAATTAAATAAGTGAACAAATGTTCATGCATCCTATTATACATTATTTAGCCATGTTTCTCAAGTGACTATGATTTATGGGACGATTGTTTAGCCAGGTTCCTCAAGTGACTGTATGATGTCATCTTATGAAGAGAGATTGGGTACAGTTAAGTGATTAAATAATGGAACAAATGTTCTTGCATCTTATATATATTATTTATTCAAGTGACTGTGTGATGTAATAGGATGATTGTTTAGCCAGGTTTCTCAAGTGACTGTATGATGTCATAGGATGACATCAGGGAGAGGTTGAATCACCACAGTCTGGTGAGACTGATGCAATGGGGAGTGATGTGAGGTTCTGGCGGATGCTCGAGGCTCAGAGGAAAGGCAAGATGGAAATTTAATCAGAATGCTACTAGCATCATTAGTATCGGAACTGTTCACTGGCTGCTGAAGATGGGGACAGAGCACTTATGGAAATGTCTCGAGTGCTCTGATGTCGGTTCTTGAATCAACTCAACTCATAGTATGACAGTAACTTTTGCTTCTGATTTTCTCACTCTAAATGACCTTTGTCCATGTGGTCTCTTATTTTGAATCATTTTATTATTGTTTGTTTATGTCCTCAGCATGATGCAAAAATTCTTAAAGACCATAAAGAACCTAATATGAAGACGTTGGATGTAAAGGAGAACCAGTGTAAGCCTGAGAACAGCAAAGAAAATACTGCCATCGCTGAAGCTGACAAGCTGATCAAACAACCCAAGGATAAGGCTACTATCAAATGTGTCCCTTCCAAAACAGATAATGGCTCCAAGGGCAAAAGTGAACACAATGTTAAAGCTGTAAATATAGCAGCTGTCATAAGTGATTTTGAACACGATCAGTTGAAACTTGTCCCGACTAAAGAGAAAAGCTGTGAATCATTGATGGAAGTCAGCTTTGCTAATTTAAACAAGTCAAGGCAAGTTTCAGCAGTAGAATCTCAGGATATGAGCATTGACTTTGACAATAAGTCGTTCAGACAATACAGAGAGTCTCCGCTGCCTGTGTTAAAAAGTAACACAATTCACCCATCTCAAAAACCAATCGTCATCTCAAGCTCTGAAGAGAGCAGCAGTGAGTCTGATCTGGAAGAATGTCTTGGGACTAGAAAAGAATTTGGAAAGTTAAAGATCTCAGACAAAGAGGCTGCATCAGTAGCTCCAGAAATTGTTAAAAAGCAGTCACATCCAGTGGAAAAGAAGTCTGAAGGATGTCCTGAGTTATCTTTGGTTCACAGTTTGAAATCAGAAACAGCCTCTTCCTGCTCAGATTCAAGCACATCTGTGACTTCAACAAATAGACAGATACAAAGCTCACCTTCTAACATGTGTAATGGCGAACCAGTTAACATAAAAGATAATGAAGACAAGAAGATCATTGTCAACACACAGAAGAGTGGTGAAAGTGAGGTTCTGAAACTGGACGTCCCATACACGAGAGAAATGCTCAGAAATCTCATCTGCGAAAAACAAGCTCTTGCCAGTGAGCTAGAGAGGTTTCAGGTAAGCACTTGTATTCTTCTCATGTAATTGTCTTCTGCTTTTGCCCTCAGAAGGGTAGTTGGCATATTGTGTTGTGGTTTAATAACTTAGCTTGTGATATCTGTTTTGTGTGTGTGTGTGGGTCCCAACAGATCCAGTTTCAGCAAACCGTTATTTAGTCATCTTTTAAGACATGTTAATAAGGGGGAGGTAGGCCTATACCCCCCTCTCCCATAATGCAGCATCAGAACCCACACAGGAAATGTAATTGTCTAAGTCCCATGAGTCCTTTCATCCTGGGAAGCCACAAACCTGGCACTTGCAGTAGGTTCCAACTCCCCAACAGTGCTGCTTAACAGCATTTCTACAGTGACAGGCTTACGAGTCACCTAGTTAGTGTCATCGATTATTTGTATGCCTGCATAGCATTTAGGAGGTGAGGATAGAAATAAATTTACTAAAAATAGCATTTGGTGGTTTGGATGGGGCTATGTGAACCAAATGGTTTTTTAAAAAAAGTTCATGTCAGATTTTCCTTTAAGCCTCAGTGATTGTCACATGGTTACAGCATAAGTCACCTGATACACGTTTATTTAGGCTTCAAGGAATGTATTACATTTATTGCTTTATTTTCTGCATGTATATTGATTACTTCCTTAGTATATTTATTATAAATTATAAAGGAAAAAACAATTTAAAGTGTAGATAAATAAATGCTTAAAAACATTTTTATGTGGCCTATGTAAAATGTTTAATTTTTAAAGAATGTTGTTGTTGTTGGAATTCCCGTGTTCATCACCCGTTTTGTATGCATTTCCCAGGGTCATAGGGTTAGTCAATGCATAGCTAAAAATGAGGATTTCATTACTTAACTCACTTTGTCGTCTCCCTTTAACTATAAAGTATTTTTTTTTTTTTTTGAGTGCCTTCCCCTTCTGCAGTCTGTAATTAATGTTTCCACATGACTCTGTCACTCATCAGCATTTCAGTGTCTGTCACTAATTTGCTGTCCATTTGAGAATGTTGTCTGTTTTCTGTTCCCTCTACGTTATAGGTGACTTTTGAGACTGTTGCAGTTTTCACATTTTGATAGCTTTTCAGGTTTCTTATTCTGCATTTTGCAGGGTGGTTGGCACAGTGTGTTGTGGTTTACTGCCGGGCTGCATTATCTGCACTTTTCAACAAAACACATCCAGTTGCAGCAAATCCCTGTTAGTCACCTTTTACAACATACTTGTTGAGGAGAGCAGCATCTATTTTTGTAGTTTCTTCATTCCTTCATCGTTTCTTTCTCACGTCTGATAAGCCTAATACTTGAACATTATATTTCTCCAATAATTCTATCACTTGTTCTTCTTTATTGCCCCATCCACATATACTGATTGTCCCTACCCTGGACCTTCTGCTGGCCTCTATTTTCCCTTTTTCTAAAACATCTCCTGTTTTCCTTTTGGGCATTTATGCTGTCACTGTCATTACTGTCTATATGTACCACTTTTTAGCGCGGTGTAGACAGGGAGTCATGAGCCTGAGGATTTAGGGCTATACAGCTAGTGCTGTTCCCACGGTCTGTAAGGTTGGGATGTTGGGGGGGGGGGGGGGGGGTAATCCAGGTTGCCCGCATGAAAGCCCGACGTAACTGCCCAGCCAGCCGCTCCTTCTGTTTTTGCCAACAAAATAGTTTTATAAATTATATAATCATTTGGATTAATACAGGTGTTGAGAATGTATTTACAGTGATAAGAATCACAGGAGAGAACAAACTTATTATTTCAGGTAAATTTGCGGCGCATCAATTTGACCAAACTGCCAGACAACGGCCAGCGTGTGATAAATACGGTCAAAACGATGAAGGACAGTGTACAGAAAGTTGAGGAGAAGATCAAGAAAGCCGAGTCTGAACTTGGTAGGTATTTTCTGATTATTTTATTAAGAGCATGCATGCAAATGTTTTGTGTTTGATTGAAATGTTACATTCTCGCATTGTGGGTAGTAACGCTTAATATCTTGTGTAATGACTAAGGAGCTTTGATTTTAGGGCTCTGTAAATGAGATCTAAATGTGAAATTTACAAGAATAAACTGTTTATATAATCATAATTTTCCCTGGGGCCACATTGTGGGGGGGAACCAAAAATGGACACACTGCTACTCAAAAAAAAAAAAAAGCATGTCATAAAAGTCGTCAAATTGGGAGTTTCCTTCAAAGTCAGACTGCACCTGCCTGAGCAGCAAGCAACAACCAGCTGCACAGAAATAAGCCTGTAAAACTCGGGGCCTGGCACAAAGCCAAAGTCCAAATGGACGAACAACTAGGACTTTCTGCCAGAGCTTACAGACGTTGAACAAAGAAGAAGGAGGAAGTAATCATAATTTCTTACCTGACTGGAAAAATACTACCACTGACTTTCCAGTCTTTTGAGCCCTGACAGGGTATGCAGCTGTCAGAATTAAGATGGGGTAGAGATTTTTTTCTTCACCTCGTACTGAAATAACATCTCAATAGGGAGCATATTGCAGAGTTTCTTTTCCTTTCAAGTCAGTGAGGTATGCAAGACTGAACAGGAACTTCACATCTCTGAAGAGGTATATTATTAGGATGTGACTACACCATCATTCAGCACAGCATCTACAGACTGGCTGTGATTTAGCCATTCTCTCAACAGATTCCTGTGTGGGTTCCGGGGCCACAATTTTTTTAAAAGAAAAAACAGACCCACTGCCCTCCTAACAGGCACGTCATAAAAGGTGGCTAATTAGGATTGTTTCCTTCACAGTTAGAGTGTATTTGCCATACAGGTTAGGAACCAGCAGTCTGCACACAAATTCACCAAATCTGTAAAACTGGTGTGCATGCAAAACTTAAGTTCTGGAACAAGACCAAAGTCCAGATGTGGAAGAAAAACCAGAACTTTCAGCCGGTGAACACTAATAAGAAGAAGAAGACTCAAAGGTTTTAGACATTTCTTGGGAACAGACCCTACCCCAGTGCGACAGAGAGGCTGAGATTTGGTCAGTGTTTACTCCACAGGTTGTAGACATTTTATTGGTGAATCAGAGTGCTAATTGATGAAAACACAGATAAAGGTGATGCTGTAGTTGACACAATTGGATCCATAATTTATGGCAAGCGAAGAGCATGGGCATTCAAAATAAGCTGAAGGGAAAACCATCAGTGAGATAAATGACACCTTTGCTGTTAAAACTAGCAGCCTCACAATAGAAACTGGCTCAAACAAGGGCATTAGCGTGGCTGGGTACTAAAGAATTCAAACACGCCTGCATACTTGGTGACTCAAGAAAATCCAGGCGCCATTCATCAGACAAGAATGGATTGTCACACTCAGCACTAGACAAATGGCTAGCCTAACCTTAATCTTTGCCAGGTCTTGCAGGTGTTCAAGGCAGAGAGCATGCAGATTATCTTGCAGACACTGTGGTTGTTGTGGCTGGTCCAATACTGAACAGAAGTAATGTTAGCAATGCCATATGCAGTACTTACAAGGAAGATTAATATTTCAAAAAGCATGACTGTGTCCCTGTCTAGGCTGAAGGACATAGGGGTGCAAGCTGGAGCTGCCATGAATGAACATTTTCCAAGGAGAGATTTGATGATTCAGCACAAAATAGGCATCGCCAGTCATTTTAAGCTTGTGGAGCTTTTGAGGAGGTGATGGAGCACCTGTGTATCTCTGGAATGCTGTGATGATAAGCCTCACTAATCATTAATGTGAACAGACTTCACCGCAGTGCCCACAGGGGCAATTATTTTCTCTTACTGAAAAGCGACTGGTAAAGTTTGCAACACTTTTCATAATTAAGTCATTTCTGGAGCAAAAAATATGGCATGTGACAAATGTACAGGTAATTTATTAAAAATAGATTACATTTGTGTTGCATTTTCGAAAATGTGCATTCTTAATATGCACACAGCTGTACAATGAAAAGTTGTCTAATGCTTTGTAGTTGAATTGTGCTATTACAGCAATAGTGCTACATTTATTTTTAGTGTTTGGTCTAAAACTGATCTGTTCCTTCAGGCACACAAGCCTATCTTGATCAGAGCAGCGGTGGAGTTGACCATAACAGTTATCCACAGCGTTCATACAGTCAGCAGGTACGGTTGTCTTAGTTACTTGTTTGAAATTAGTGTCTCCTGGCTTGGACCCGAAGATCTTCTTATCTTCCTCTTAGCACCCTGGTTATTCTTTCACCTCTGGACTTGTCTTTTTTTTCTTCTTCAGAATCTGAGGGTTGCGTGCACAGCTGTTTCACAGATCTGACTTATTTGTATGGAAACTGTTGGTTTCTCACCGCTCAGGCAGATGTAATCTGACTTAGAAGGAAATATTGCTAATCAGTTGCCTTTTGCAGCATGCGTGTTAGGAGACAGCGGGGGTCTGTTCTGATTGTTCATCCACCTCTGGACTTTAGTCTTGTTCCAGAATCTGAGGGTTGCATGAACATCTGTTTCACAGATCTGACTTATTTGTATGCAGGCTGTTGGTTCCTTGCCTCTCAGACACAGAAGTACTTTGACTTTGAGGGAAGCTTGGAACCACCTTGGAGGGGGGGGGGGGGGGTAATGACATGCTTTTTGGGAAGCACTGGGTCTATTCTTGTTTCCCCCCAGTCAGGTCCTGGAACCCACATGGGTAGCTAATACCAGCAGTAATGATGTTTCCATGTGTGTGTGTGTGCTGAGTTTGTGTATGTGCTGAGTGATTCTATGAGCATGATCTGGCAGGTCGATGTGGGTTCCGTCTGCAGACAGTGGGTTGAGTCGTTGCGAAACTTCCATGTGCATGCAGTTACCTTTATCTTTGTCCCAGGAAATGCAGTTGTTGTTGGTAATGAAAGAGCTGATAGACTGGCCGGTTATGCCTTAGTTGCAGATGGCCAGCCTGTGGTTCACACCAAACTGTTAACACCCTTAGAGAGATATGACAGTTGCGTGCACATCCATTTTACTGGCTTTTTTGTGTGCATTTGGTTGTTGCTTGCTGCTCGGGCAGATGCACTCCGATTTTGAAGTAAGCCCCCAGTTAGTAAACTCCCACGACATGCTGGTTGGGGAGACAGTCTGTCTATTCTTGTTCTCCCCAAAATGGGGCCTCAGAACCAACATGTGGAGGAATATCTTGGCTCAGTAATAAACACCAGTGGTGACTGCAACAAAGAAGCCATAAGAAGACTTGCTTTAGCGGGGAAGAGATAAAAACAGTATGAAGAACATATGGATGTGAGTCATGGATCTTACTCTGTCATTGAAGAAAAAATTTGCAGCTTTTGAATTAAAATGTCACAGAACAGTTCTTAGAATTCCATGGACCAGGAAGAATAAAAACATCTACATTCATGACCTCAGCTTTGAGGAGAACTGGCTCATCAGCAGCATCCTATCCCAGAAGCTGAGGTATGTGGCCGTATTAAATGTCATGAAGACCCTAAAAAAACATTGATAAAAGATACAGTTACCGGAAGACTAGGCTCACCAACATTGGTTTTAAGACATTGAATATTGTTGTATGCTGAACTCACTGTGGTATGTATGTATGTATGTATGTACGTACGTATGTATGTATTTATATTTGTATGCATGTATGTATGTACGTATGTATATATTTATGTATGTATGTATAAAAGGTAGATAGGTATCTAGATAAGTTGGCAGGTATTGTTGTATGTATGTATGTATGTATGTGTGTGTGTGTGTGTTTATGTGTGTGGGGGTAGGCAGGCAGGTAGGTATGTATGTATGTATGTTGGTTGTTAGAGGCATCATCCCCCATGCCAGTCGTCAAGGCGCTTGATGATGATAATGACTGATGCGAGTGCAAAAGGTCCAAATTACTTGAAATTGTGAGACCCGATTCTAGAGTTAAATGTTGAATTAAGGAATCAACAGCACAGCACTCAGGGCACTACTATAAGCTCTCCACCCCCATCTTCAGCAGCCAGGGAAGAGTTCCAGTTCCGATGGCACCAGTAACTGTCTGTTTGTATTCGCCATTCTCCTCAAACCAAAATTATCTGTTTGTGCCTCCGCACTGTTCACTCGCACGCCAAGGGCCCTCACGACATCTAGCTTAAACACATTTCTAGAGATTCACGGGTAACAGCGGCCTCCACTGGGATTGGGAGACCAACGTATGACCACTGTGACAGGCTGCTGGAGGTTAACCCATGTCAAAGTCAGTGTCTCTCAGTCAGTCATGTAGAGCAGACATATGTGGATGACCTTTGTTCTTAATAATGTGTGTTATTTATTTCCCTGTGGAAATGTAATTTGGTGTAGAGACGGTGAGATCCAGACTGACCACTGTGAGTTAGTTGATTAAATTTCATAATATCGGTCGGTGCCAGTGACTGTTTATATAATCTGTTAGGTCTTCTGATAGCAGTACTCTTTATCTTCTTTCCTGCAGGTCAGCCTGGCTTATCCAGCAATAATTTCTGTTATATGCCAAATGTGTCTTGTGTTGTAGACTAACATCAAATCAAGGCTACATGTCGCCTTTTAAGGTGGTGCTGCCTTTGGAGTTTGTCTGTAGGCAGAATCGAATAGACAGTGTTCAGTCATTTGTCACCAATTCATCGTCCTGTTGTATTCGTCCAGGAATAAACTCGACTGATACACTAGCACAGAAAGTATATTTAGTGTTGGTGTTCACGCTTTGTTATTATAGTGTTGGTGGTTTGATTTCATCGTGTGTATATCTATAGTACCTCAGTATTCTCCTGTAGGTAACCTAGTGGTCGCCATGATCGTCGACTATGCAACTTCTTCGTATGTGATTGAAGTATAATTATCACCCCAGATTCTTTTGCCGGGTATATGATATCTCCTCTCATATTGCATACTACAAAGATGCATTGGTTGTTAAAACACACGGGGCTGGAGAAAAGGCTCAAGAAATAGACTTTTATGCCTGATGCATTGAGAGCGACGTTCTAAAAAAAATCTGCCGATTGCTGGTGATTAAAATATATTACTATTTCTGTAAATCATTTTCTATTGTGGTTGCAGAATCTGCTCCATTGGAAGTCCAAGCCTGCAGAATCTGGCCATGTTTTTCCAGGATCAGTCAACTACAATAACAGCAACAGCACAGACAAACTGCAAGCTCCACATCCACAGTTTGTTCAAGACTTTGGACATCATCCTCAACATTTGCAACAGCTTTTTGCTTGTAAGTGAGCTGAAACTTTTACATTGTCTTCCTTTATTTTTATTTCTAGTCTTGTTCACATTTATCGGCTGTAAACTCCAGTGGAAAGTTGTGGCTGTTCATCCACCTCTGGACTTAGTTTTGTTCCAGAACCTGAGTATTGCGTTTAGTTAGTCTTTCCTCTTGTGTCGAGTGCGGCACATAGGGCAGAGGTCATGACTCTCCATGCATGGCGGTTCGTTGCAATCCGTTGTAGGTCTTGGATGTTTGTGTGGCTCATGAGCGAGCCTTCCCTGATGATAGTTCTACGTAGGGTTTCCCTTGGTCTTCCACGAGATCTTTTCCCCTGTGGTGTCCAAATGAGGGCTTGGTAAGGAAGTCTTGATTTATCCATTCTAAGGGCGTGGCCGACATAGTTCCAGCTGCGTTTTCGTATAAAATTAGACACATACTCTTGCCTGGATTCTTGCCTTATTTGTGTATTTGTTCGGAAATCTGACCATTTGAAATTTAGTATTCTTCTAAGGCATTTATTTTCAAAACTGTCTAATTTTGTGTCTAGAGTTTTCGTTGATTTCCAGCTCTCGCATCCATAGGTTAGTACTGGAATCACACAAGTATTGCGTGCACATCCTTTTTTTTTTTACACACAGATCTGACTTATTTGTATGCAGACTGTTGGTTCCTTGCCTCTCAGGCAGTTGCACTCCAACTTTGAATAAAGCTCTAAATGAGTAGACTCTTACAACATACTTGTTGATGTTTTCCCTCACAATGAGGCCCCGGAACCCACATGTAGAGTTTTAGAATAAAACATACAGATGCACACATGTCCGTACCTGAGAGAGTTGTTTGGTCACCACTGTGAGATTATGTTGTGTCAAGGACGTTTTGGGTCTTGAAAGCCCAACCCTCTCCTATGTCAAGAACATGTTCTGGGTCTTCAAAGCCCAACCCTCTCCTAAGTCAAGAACATGTTCTGGGTCTTGAAAGCCCAACCCTCTCCTACGTCAAGAACATGTTCTGGGTCTTGAAAGCCCAACCCTCTCCTACGTCAAGAACATGTTCTGGGTCTTGAAAGCCCAGCTCTCTCCTATGTCAAGGTCATGTTCTAGGTCTTGAAAGCCCAACCCTCTCCTATGTCAAGGACATGTTCTGGGTCTTGAAAGCCCAGCTCTCTCCTATGTCAAGGTCATGTTCTAGGTCTTGAAAGCCCCACCCTCTCCTATGTCAAGGACATGTTCTGGGTCTTGAAAGCCCAGCTCTCTCCTATGTCAAGGTCATGTTCTAGGTCTTGAAAGCCCCACCCTCTCCTATGTCAAGGACATGTTCTGGGTCTTGAAAGCCCCACCCTCTCCTATGTCAAGGTCATGTTCTGGGTCTTGAAAGCCCCACCCTCTCCTATGTCAAGGACATGTTCTGGGTCTTGAAAGCCCCACCCTCTCCTATGTCAAGGACATGTTCTGGGTCTTGAAAGCCCAACCCTCTCCTATGTCAAGGTCATGTTCTGGGTCTTGAAAGCCCCACCCTCTCCTATGTCAAGGACATGTTCTGGGTCTTGAAAGCCCCACCCTCTCCTATGTCAAGGACATGTTCTGGGTCTTGAAAGCCCAACCCTCTCCTATGTCAAGGACATGTTCTGGGTCTTGAAAGCCCCACCCTCTCCTATGTCAAGGACATGTTCTGGGTCTTGAAAGCCCCACCCTCTCCTATGTCAAGGACATGTTCTGGGTCTTGAAAGCCCAACCCTCTCCTATGTCAAGGTCATGTTCTGGGTCTTGAAAGCCCAACCCTCTCCTATGTCAAGGACATGTTCTAGGTCTTGAAAGCCCCACCCTCTCCTATGTCAAGGACATGTTCTGGGTCTTGAAAGCCCAACCCTCTATGTCAAGGACATGTTCTGGGTCTTGAAAGCCCAACCCTCTATGTCAAGGGCATGTTCTGGGTCTTGAAAGCCCAACCCTCTCCTATGTCAAGAACATATTCTGGGTCTTGAAAGCCCAACCCTCTCCTTTGCACACTATGAAACTGATGTTGTGGTCCGTCTTCTCTATATTTAATGATCTTAGAGCTTTTGCTTCGAGAATGCACACACAAAAAAGAGGGACGGGGCAGGGCATGAACCTGCAGGAATGTACTGAAAAAATCCTTTAAAAAAAAAAAAAAAACTATTTTATATAAATTGTTTAAAAATCATTAAATATAGTCACACTAATGTCTGAAAATGTAAGAAACAGAACAATGTCTAGGATTTTCAGAGCTGATAGTCCAAAGAGATGCAGAGATTATAAACCATGACTTAGGAAGGAAAAAATAAAGTCACCTGTCTATATTCTGCTCACTGGAGGCCCTATGCATCTATGTGGGAAATGTCATGTGAAACTATAGTTGATGCGGAGTCCACTGCAGTGCGTCTAGCATGCAAAAGAAGCAAATTACTCATTCTGTGTAGGGTAATCAAAATCCCAGATCCCAGATGCTATATTTGGTTTATAAATTAATATCCGGGCCTCCCAACAACTACGCAGGTGCATTTTGAACCATACTTTTCAAGAACAGTACACTGCAGAAATGGCCATATATTGACATTTATGGGGCGTGTGACATTTGAGAGTGGCTAGATTGAGCTTCCTCAGGGAAAAATGGTGAATGTACAAATTTTCTTTTCTCTTTGCTTAAGAAAAGTCAAACAATCCACAATCAACAGATCATCAGGAATATGGGTTCATTGCTTGTGTGTCAGTAGAATGTAAGAAGTTAAAAGTTAGTTGCGTATCCTTTACGGGACGTTGCAGAACAAATCCCAGCATTTTTGGGCTGTTATTGTTTTTCTAGGCAAGTTTACGTCCAGTAGTTTGCCATTGCTTTCTGGATAGTCGGCTTCTTGATACCACTGTCGAAACCAACGCAAGGCCCCTAGCTGGGATTGAACCCGGCACCCCGGAGAGAGAGGTCGAAATTGACAAAAGAAGAGGGTAGGGGTTACTGTAAGTCAACTGGTATATTTGTAGGTGTGATTGATACTGTGTATTAGTTTATAGTAATATTTGTAGGTGTGATTGATACTGTGTATTAGTTTATAGTAATATTTGTAGGTGTGATTGATACTGTGTATTAGTTTATAGTAATATAGCAAGTTAATTCAAGTCAAGTGTCTTTGTGTTTTTTGACTTGTTGCTGAAAACTGCAAAATTACTTTTGTTGCTGTTGTTAAAGCCAACCCTCAAGCAATGACATTGTATGGAGGTAGAATGACTGCCCAGAGGCTGAGGGAAGTTGGTTCAATCACAACAGAAGCTATTGACAAACTTCATAAGTAAGTCTCTGTTATATATTCTTTTTTTCTATTTAAATTTTTTTGATTCATACCATCTTTTCTTCTTTTACCCTCGAATATAGAAGTATAAAGCAGTCTTATTTTAATCAGAGCCGCCATGGTGTAGTGGCTAGATGCTCGCCTGCGGATGCAAAAGTCATTGCTTCAGATGTAGACGGAGCTGGACTTCTTGAAAAAAAAAAGACTTTGGCTCTCAGGTCGACCCAGCCTTGAATGAGTACCAGGTAAAGTTCTGGAAAGTAAAGGTGGCCAGGGTGATGTTGACCCATCACCGACCAAGTGTCAACTGGTCTATAAAATATAGGTCATGTATACCTAATATAGCTGCAGGTCTGAAAAAGGGTACTTTAATTCCGTGAACACCATTTTCGTTTTCTTCAGCAAGACCAGTGGGAGACCTAACACGGGTACAAACTCCAGACTTCTATGATCATGGGTGGATATGCTCAGCTTCCTGAATAGCAGCTATATCTTCTTTTACAGTAAAAGTGAAAAAGGTCACTTTTCATGACTTTTGGCAACATGAGAATGTGGTTAGTTAGTTAGTTAGTCTTTCATCTTGTGTCGAGTGCGGCACATAGGGCAGAGGTCATGACTCTCCATGCATGGCGGTTCGTTGCAATCTGTTGTAGGTCTTGGATGTTTGAGTGGCCCATGAGTGAGCCTTCCCTGATGATAGTTCTATGTAGGGTTTCCCTTGGTCTTCCACGAGATCTTTTCCCCTGTGGTGTCCAAATGAGGGCTTGGTAAGGAAGTCTTGATTTATCCATTCTAAGGGCGTGCCGACATAAGAGAATGTGGTACAGGCCCCTTATTTTCTATAGACTAAAATCAGCATTGTGTGGATGATGTGGTTAACATCATGCCGACCACCTTTACTTCCAGGACATTTCTTGTTACTGTTTTTAGTCTGGGTTATGCTGGGAGCCATGGTTTGAGAAATTATAAATTTACAACCACCAAATTTTATTTTATTTTAAAAGTTTAAAATTAAAATATAATTTTACAAATTCACGTTAATAAAGATTCAAACTTTTAACCACTGCGGCACAAAACATTCTAACCACTTGCTATGTTATAGGAATGACAAATTAATAAAAGATACTTCTGTGGTTGCCATATTTATCAATTATTTAGTACACACTTACCAAAACTTGAATATAAGAACACACTTAATATGGTGTTTGAGAGACTTTTGGAAAAGTCTGTAACACATCAAGCATTGTTTGGCACTGTAGAGTATATCAAGATTATAGATCAAGAATAAATCATCAGTGTCATTGTGATTTCTTTCAGCTTTCATGCCTGCTCTCAAATCTACATCATTCTTTGAATGTATTTTGTTTGTTTTGTGTAGGCAGCTGGAATCTTGTCCTACAGAGGAGACAGAATGCCCCGATCCACATGGCTTGCAGGTGACCTTGAAAGCCCACCAGCGACAGGCTCTTGCTTGGTTGGCTTGGAGGGAGAAACAAGTCCCTCCAGGAGGAATTCTAGGTAAATAAAAAAGTAACCAATTTGTTTATCAACAGTGTCGGTTCCCACTATCATTATCTTTGTTTTGGTTTCAGAAGAAAAAAAATATCACCGAAAGACCCTTATGTATGCCAATGGCTCATCGTTGTATGTTGCTAGACTTGTTTGCTCTCCCTGGGGCCCCTTCGTGGGGAAAACAAAAATAGACCCACTGCCTCTCAAACAAGCATGTCATAGGAGTCGACTAATTTGGGGCTTCGTTTGAAGGGGGCGGGCATCTGCCCGAGTGGCAAAAACAATCAACTGCACACAAATAAGCCTGTAAAAGGGATGTGCTCGCAAAACTCAGGCCCTGACACAAAGCCAAAGCTCAAATGGATGAACAACCAGGACTCTCTGCTGGAGCTTACAGCCGGTGAACAAAGAAGAAGAAGCCCAACTGGCACTAGATGGGTGATAAGCATTATGCCGGTCGTCTTTCCTTCTAAGGACACTGGCTGGTACCTATTATTGGTTGGGTAGTCAAGGTAATTTTCTTGTTTTAATCCGCCCAGTGCTGGACCTTTGGACCATCATGTGAACATCTAGCCACTATATTACTGTGCTCCCTAAGAAACTCAGTACAAAATAAAGGGAACTACACAGAATTAAACATACATGATTACAGAGAAGAAGAAAGGAAGGTTCTGGATAATTTTAGGTAATCATTATTCGCCCAAAACGATAGAGAATAGGATATTGCAGATTTCGTAATTGCTGGCTGATATTGGGTAATGAATTAATTCTTGCATTGACAAGAGTTGGCACATTGCTTTGTGGTTTACAGCTAGACTACGATAGTAGTCAAGTTAATAATACCACATAGTAATTGTAGGTAGACCTATCCCAGAACTTAGATATGCAGACGACACAGTTCTTCTTTCCAACAATGTACAAGGCTTACAAAATTTAATTTTGACTTTCAAAAAAAAAATACTGTAAAGAAAAGAATGTATTTCTGTATCTGAAAAACCCCCCACTAAAATAATGTCCATAATGAATACAGCACACCAACCACATATTAAAATCGACAACAAAGAGATTGAAAATATCAAAGATTTTGTGAATTTTTAGACCAGTAATTACAACTGTGGCGACTGCACAAAAGAAGTCAGAAAAAGACTTGCTTTAGCAATGCAGAGGCTAAACAGCTTGACGAACCAATAGCATAGCATCTGCTGATCATCCATCTTACCAGTGGCAATTTATAGATGTGAGTCATGGACTCCCACTCAGTCTTTGAAGAAGAAAATTGGAGCTTTTGAGCTGAAATGCTACAGAATGGTTCTTAGAATACAGTGGACCAAGAAGAAGAAGAACGTCGACATCCTGCATGACCTGAACATCAAGGAGAGCTGGCTCGTTAACAGCATCCTCTCCCAAAAGCTGAGGTCTGTTGGACATGTCAAGCAAGTGCCATGGTGGTCTGTTGGACATGTCAAGCAAGTGCCATGGTGGTCTGTTGGGCATGTCAAGCGTGTGCCATGGTGGTCTGTTGGACATGTCAAGCAAATGCCATGGTGGTCTGTTGGACATGTCAAGCAAGTGCCATGGTGGTCTGTTGGACATGTCAAGCGTGTGCCATGGTGGTCTGTTGGACATGTCAAGCAAGTGCCATGGTGGTCTGTTGGACATGTCAAGCAAGTGCCATGGTGGTCTGTTGGACATGTCAAGCAAGTGCCATGGTGGTCTGTTGGACATGTCAAGCAAGTGCCATGGTGGTCTGTTGGACATGTCAAGCAAATGTCATGGTGGTCTGTTGGACATGTCAAGCAAGTGCCATGGTGGTCTGTTGGACATGTCAAGCAAGTGCCATGGTGGTCTGTTGGACATGTCAAGCGTGTGTGCCATGGTGGTCTGTTGGACATGTCAAGCGTGTGCCATGGTGGTCTGTTGGACATGTCAAGCAAGTGCCATGGTGGTCTGTTGGACATGTCAAGCAAGTGCCATGGTGGTCAGTTGGACATGTCAAGCAAATGTCATGGTGGTCTGTTGGACATGTCAAGCAAGTGCCATGGTGGTCTGTTGGACATGTCAAGCGTGTGCCATGGTGGTCTGTTGGACATGTCAAGCGTGTGCCATGGTGGTCTGTTGGACATGTCAAGCGTGTGCCATGGTGGTCTGTTGGACATGTCAAGCAAGTGCCATGGTGGTCAGTTGGACATGTCAAGCAAGTGCCATGGTGGTCAGTTGGACATGTCAAGCAAGTGCCATGGTGGTCTGTTGGACATGTCAAGCAAGTGCCATGGTGGTCTGGAGAGAACGGTAATGGAGGGTGCAGTTTCTGGAAAACGAGGCAGAAGCCGACCTTCACGAATGCGGATACAGGACGTTGAAGATGCAGTTGACTGTGAAAGCACATAGGGCTGGAGAATTGACTAGAGAAAGAGAGACTATTAGGCTTGCCCTGACAGCTTGGTTGAGAACTGGGCAAATGGCATGATTGTAGGCACATATAACGGAGTTGACCCCAGACTCGAGTATGGACAGATATAACAGAGTTGTCTCATGACTCAAGTATGAATGAAAGTTTGTTAATGTCCAGCAAGTTGACCACAATGCTTGATGTCTACATATTACTGTGTTATTCAGGTAAAGATAACAAGGAAAGTCTATATAAAATGTGAACATAGGGAGAAACACTTCTGTCATTTGAATATTACGCATTGTTGACAATTATGTTTTAATTGTGTTTGATGGCAGCTGATGACATGGGTCTAGGAAAGACACTGACTACAATATCCCACATCATTAGTCAAAAAGTAGCCAGTGAGTTTTAGCCTTTATGTTTGCTGTTTTCTTTTTTCAAACAAAGGAAACTGCTTGTATGCTTATTGTGGCCATCATCATTATGTGTTGTTTCATTTATCTGTACACAATAGCATGTTTCAACATATCTGATTGTTTCCATATTTCCTTTTTTCTTTAAAAAAAAATACATTTTATCCAAGGGAAAAGATAGAAATAGCTTGGATATGTTTGCAGAGTTCCTGGTGGCACTTTAATAAAGACAGCTGTCAGTAGGTGGAGAGAGTAGACCAGAACAGCCTAAGGAAACATGGACAGAAGAAAATTAAATGAAGACTTGTAAAATGACAAGGGATACCATGGGGAGTAAAGCAGTAGACTGGCAGTTTTGGAGGTCACGTCTGAATGCCTTATATGTCATCAACGACAAAACGAGGATACAGAGATAGATGTTTATGAATTATTTTTCCTTCGAAGTTGGAGTTCTGCCTGAAAGTCAAGGAACCAACAGTCTGCATACAAGTGAGTCAGATCTGTAAAACAGATTTGCATGCAACACTTAGGTTCTGAAACAAGACTAATGTCCAGAGATGGATAAACAACTAGAACTTTCCACCAGAGTTTACAGCCGGTGAACATTAAGAAGAAGAAGAATGAATCATTTCATCGGCAGAGTGGGTAGCAGGCTTACCTGCTGATCTAGTTAGCATATGTTGAATCCTCTTTGACATGAGGATACTTTGCATTGTCTCAGGCTGCTAGGTGGATGCAACTTAAAACCAGAATATTTCATGGAAAGCAAAGAAACTATGTTGATCACATTACCTGTTAACCCTTTCAACCTGTAAGAATCTTAACCAATGATCATTTTCAAAATGTTGATGTAAATAAAATAAAAATCATGTGCATTCTTTTAATTGTCAGAAACTCTACCCTAAGGAACTAGAGTAAGAGAAGAAGAAGCAGAAGAAATTGGAGTCTTGGTTAGTTTTCATAAAAATCCTGGAGTTTGAAATCTACGACCACTGAGCAAACAAGCCAGCCTGCTAGCAATTATGTCTTCGCGGCTTCCAGGTCACAGAAGAAACCTGACAAGACTAAATCTCAGCATTTACGGGATGAGAGAGTTAAGGCGGTGATTGGACTAAAAAATATGGGTCTAGAACATTCAATTAAAATGCCATGTGATAACGTAGCAAAGGATGTCCTGGCCTGAGTTGGTTGAGGGCCTGTGCTTCTTCAGGCGATAAATGGCAGTAGAAGAAGACTCCAGTGTGATGCCCAAAGGATAATAGCTGTTTTCTTCTTCTTCCCTTTTTGTGTTCACTAGCTGTAAACTGCAGTGGAAAGTCCTAGTTGTTCATCCGTTGAACTTTGTGCTGGGGCTTGAGTTTTGCATGTACATCTGTTTCACTGGCTTACTTGTGTGCAGCTGGTTGTTTCCTACCGCTCAGGCAGATGCACTCCGACTTTGAAGTAAACTCCAAATTAATCGACTCATACAACATCTTGTTAGGGCCTGGAACCCAAAATAGAACAGCTGTTTTGAAAATATATAAATGAAGTTAGAAGTTAGTTGCATATCCTTTACAGGACATTGCAGAACCAACCCCAGCATTTTTTGGCTGTTGTGGTTTTTCGAGGCAAAATTTACATTCATTAGTTTGCCATTGCTCTCTGACGATCATCTCTCGGTACTATAAGTAAGGCCAATGTGAGACAAATTGTCTGCAGCTGGGATCGAACCCTGCACCCAGGTATTATGAAGCGCCTAAGCTACGCACACCGACATATATATGAGTGGCGTTAGCGCAGTCGATACAAGGCTCGCTTTCAAATCCAGCTGCGACTCGCTGCAGCCACGGTCGGTGTTCGAAACCTGGTGGCTCTCTGGGTTCACCCAGCCTCTAGGAAATGGGTACCAGAGTTAACACTCTGGGGTAAATGGAGGAACACCGCTGTAGCTACAGAGTTACATACGGGCGGCGGCACAGGCGGACAGTTTCTCATCAGCTGTCCGCACTAATGGCAGAGCACTCATGGTTTATAACCATGTGCAATTACGCTGGTTAACATCTCCCGACTTTACCTTTATATATATATATATATATATATATATATATACACACATAAACATGTTTTTTAAATTAATAATTTAAAAAAAATTATAACTGATTAGAAGTTTAAATTGTTTAAAGCTGTTATATGAATACTTTATAATATCAGTATGTTAGAGTTTAATGTGCAGGAGGTTGGTCACTCTATTTTGTTTATTTCCAGTGGAAAAAGCAGTGAAGAAATCTAGGTCAACGTTGATAGTTACTCCAGCTTCTCTTGTTCATCAGTGGGCAAAAGAAATTGAGCGTAGATGTCAGCCAGGATTACTAAAGTTCCTGGTCTACCATGGTCCTAATCGAGAAAAAAATATCAGAAAGTAAGTTTATTAAGCTAACAGTTCTACTGTCAATGGCAGAAAATATGAATGTAAAAGTAAAAATAACAAATAAAATGAAGGGATCCATTTTATGCTAGTGGCGCTTTGGGCATATGGTCCTAGACTCATCTTTTTATAGGCCAGTTGGCACTTGATGGGTGATTTACTAGCTTCAACTTGTTCATTTATGTATGACTCATCTGATGAGGTATAACATAATATGCCAGGCAGTGCATTGTACTATCTGTTTATTTATTTTTTATTCAGAAATTAATTCGTTTGGTTTGAGGTTGGTGCAGTGAAATCCTCACTAACACAAACTCACTTAAGAAGAACACTGCCTTAATGTGAATATAATTTTGGTTCCAGCAGGCAGGTATTTATTTTAGTGAGCAGTTAGCACAAACTTTGATCTTATGCTAATGATGGTATCAAGCAGAGAGAACGAATGATGGTGCCATCAGAGTTAGAACTTTGCACTTGCTGTTGAAGATGGGGGAAGGAGCGCTTATTGAAATGTCTCGAGTGCTGTAATATCGATTCTTTTTTCAACATTCAGCATTCGTTATTTCAACATCTGATCTTTTCGTCTTATGGAATTTGTGTTAACAAGGTTATATATTTAATATCATATGTGGGAGAAAAGTGACGAGTCACAAAATATGTCTGCTCCAGATCCAGCCGCTGCAGAAGAAAATAGTGTAGGTTAACATTAACAGCAAACTGAAAAAACTAGTCCTTGTACAACTGAAAACCACTGATGTTGAAATGTATTTGGATTGTCCCTAGGCTGATTGATAGTGATATTGTCTTGACAACGTACAGTATAGTGGGCAAGGAAGTTGGATCAGATGATACAGAGAATGCTGAGGACCCAGTTGATGAAGGAGAGGAAGCAGAAGTAACTGACAGCAAGGTATGATGTCTAGTGTAAATTTAACTTCCTGACTTTGTACTTTAGGTGGCCTATTAGTGAGGTGGCTAGCATATTTGCATACCAGCCTAATGTCATAAGTTTGAGTCCACATTGAAGTGAATTTTAAAACTGACTCGGACTTCCGGGTCTAAAATGAGTACTAGGAAAAGTACTGGAAGTAAAGTTGGCCGTCGTGATACTGACCACATCATAGGCCAAGTCTTTATAAAATATTGAGCTATCATTGTATGCCCATAACACATTATGCATGGAAATGGGTCCATCTAAGTCCAAGTCCTTCTGAGAAAAAATTGAAAGGTCGACCACTTTCAGACAGCTGCTAGCTAGCCGAGGCTGCTAACAGTCTCCGCCCATATTTGTGGTCTGGGTTATTTGCGTCACTTTCGTGACTAAATTCGATTGTTGTTACTTGTGCATGTCTTCCCTCTTCTTACTTGATGTTTCCAGTTTGTTTTGTCTCCTTTTGATTTGGCCAGGCATATTTTTTAGGGGAGCGCGCTTTTCCACATAACATCCTTTAGACCACCATTTACAGTTTTAAAATTGTAAGTTTTTTTTGCCAAAAAGTACTGAAAACAGTTTTTGATTTTGGATAGTTCCGAAATGTGAAAATATTCCGCGTGTGACCATAGTGGTCTTATAGTTGTCTTCCTGATAAGAACGGGTTAGTCATGTCGTGGAAATGTGTGTAAAATGTTGTGTGGAACTTTAAAGCGGGTCTAATCGTCATTACTTATCCGTGTATGCATACCTAATTGACCTTCCGTACACATGCATACTCTTTCATATGCGTCTACCAATGCCTACATAAATGCACTTACATTCATAAAAAACGTGTACATCCACACGTAAGGACATTCACTCTTCCATGTCTTGTGTGTTATTTTGTGTCGCTATGTCTGTAATATCATCTGGTCGTGTCACTTTTTAAGTTATGTCCTGTTTCTGGTATGTGACCTGTCCATTACTTTCTTATCATGTTCTGGTGGATGGTGTGTGTTGATGACGTTCTTGCTGTATACACACTTCATTCCATTTGTTCTCATTAATTAACAGCCATGCAACAACATAATTTATGGGTTCCTGGAGGGCACTGTCATTCACATACACACAAATATATAAATATACACGCTCCCATATACATATAAAATATACACACACGTGCGCACACGCACATTCATACAACAATACATTTCTATATCCATGTACTCGTTCATCTGTACCTTTCGCCCAGCTATATTCCCACTGTCTTGTCCATACGTGACCCCTTACCATTCGCCTACATACATCTTGTCTTATATATCCATCCTATACATAAATGCACTCATCCTACACGCACTCATCCTTGTGTATCCATCCATGTTCATATCTATGCACTCATCATACTTACACTACTTCCCTTACGCTAGGGTGTCTGGAGTCACCATTTGATCTTTTCCTTCTGCTGTCCTGAGTTGATCCTCAACCTGGTCTTTCTAGTTTTGGTTTGTTTTAATTAGGTACTGTTTAACCAAGTTTTGGGATGTCTTTATTGTTATCTACCTTTAAACATTTGTTGGCAGTAATCTGTTGTTTGTGTTTTAGAAAATACTCCTCAATGGGTTTCCTCTCCAATTTGTATTTAGTGCAGTTTATTATATAGTGTTCTATTGTATTATCCTGAAAGCAGTCCAGACATAGGGGAGATGTAAATTTCTCTGGATGCCACCCTAACCTAGCTCTCCATAGTAGTTTGTTAGCTGGGATTTTCAATTTGCCCCGCACCTGTGTGTTAAGGCTGGGTTCTTTAAGGTTTTTGTATGCATCTCTGCCATAAGTGCTCATCTGCCACTGGAGTTTCCACATTTTCATGATATGTCTTTTAATTATGCTATTCCTTTCATTTTTTCCGAGTCCTACTTCTATTAAAGCATCACATTTACTCCTTTTTTTGGCTGCTTGGTCAGCTTTTTCATTGCCTATTACACCTCTATGTGCTGGTACCCATGCAGTTGTGACTTGGCATCCTTTATTCTTCAGTTGGGTTGTTAGGTTTAAGATCGTTTCTTTAATATCTGGTCTACTGCTAGTTTTATGTGTTTTTAACGTCTGCACTGATGACAGCGAATCTGTCAGTATGGTAAATTTTGTTGGAGGTTTAGTTATTACCATCTCTAGCGCCTTCATTATGCCAACTAGTTCAGCTGTGCATACTGCTACATGATCTGTTTATTTATATTCTCTTTGCATTCCCCACTGAGGGATAATTACTCCTGCTCCTACTTCTCCTACATCGTTCTTAGTCCCATCAGTGTATGCAACCAGGTTGTCTGATCGGATCTGGTATATGTATTCTTCAGTTATTGTTTTGGCCTCAAATGGTTCAGAATTTTTATTAATAGTTTTCATCAGACTCATGTCTGTCCTAGGCATTTCTAGTCTCCATGGAGGGATTTGAGGGATAAACCTAACGCTCGCCTTGAGAGTCCTAGCTAAGTCAATGGGTGAATTACTTTGTGTGTATTTTATACCTTTTCCTCGTGCTTTGAAGGCCGTGGGTTTGTTTCATGGACACCTTGTCCCGTTCATGGGTAAAGTTTTTACATTAATCCCTGGGAATCGTCACTGGATCGGATCTACTTTAGTGCAGTTTATTTGTATAGTGTTTTATTGTATGTGGCTGAAGCAGTCCAGACATAGGGGAGATGTAAATTTCTCTGGATGCCACCCTAACCTAGCTCTCCATAGTAGTTTGTTAGCTGGGATTTTTAATTTGTCCCGCACCTGTGTGTTAAGGCTGGGTTCTTTAAGGTTTTTGTATGCATCTCTGCCATAAGTGCTCATCTGCCACTGGAGTTTCCACATTTTCATGATATGTCTTTTAATTATGCTATTCCTCTTAGTTTTAGTGACAGTGATGAATATATTGAAGGGGGGAACCTGAGCACCTATGGACTTGTCTGGAGTGCTGGGAAGATAATGCAGTGATAACCCAACTCAGCTGGATGAGTTGTGTTTCTAAAGGCCATGTTTTATTTTGCTGTTTTAGAACTTCTTTATTCAGTTTGTCCCCACTACTCCTCTTTTTAGAATGAATATTTCATGCTTGCGCATTAGAGTGACTTGTGCTTTTGGAAAAACTGTAATAGCTAATTGTGAACTGTTAATAATAAGCAGATCAAACTTGAAACATTTGCGGTGTTTTTGTGTGTGCCTCAAACAGAAGTCAGAAGATCTGCCAATGCTGCTCAGGATCGGGTGGGAGAGGATTGTTCTGGATGAGGGCCACAATATAAAAAACCACAAATCTCTGACTTCAAAGTCAGTGTGTCGACTCCGAGCTGCGTTTCGCTGGGTCCTGACTGGTACCCCCATACAGAATGACCTCTTGGATATGTACTCACTTCTCAGGTTTGTGATAGCTTCTGCATTTTGAAAAAAATATGTATATATATGGTTTATTGCCTGTTTGCTTATATAAAAGTCATTTATGTCTTCTCCCATTTTCTTTTCTTTTTCTCACTCTCTCCTCTTTTCCCTTTACTCCCCTTCATTCTTCTGTCTCACCCCTCCACACACTTTATCTTTCCTCTCAGACACACACATACACGCTACAACACTCTTACCCATTTCTTTTTCTCTTCCTTGCTCTACAAGCACACTACCAAAGCACCCCTCTCATCCTTTTCCCCCCACCGATTTGCCTCACTCTACACACACACACACACACACACACAACAGCACCCCCTTACCATTTCTTTTGTCTCTCCCCCTCACTGTGTACACACATACACAAACATATTTTTTTTCTCTTGTTTTACAGTATTAACACTATTTCAGTTTTGACATTTATACACTTATTTTGATAGCTGTATTAAATTGTTATGCCTGGAACAAAAGTAGTAAGCCGGGGAAAGGCTGGAACAAGTAATAATGATAAATTAGAAATAAAGTAACATATTTATAACAGCAAAGTGCAGGAATGGCTAATCTGACTGGTCATATCAATACTAATTTTGTCAGAGAAATGGGCACTAGGGGATTTAATACTAGTTCTTCTTCTTTCTCCTCCTTCTCCTCCTCCTCTTTCTCATCCTTCTCATCCTCCTCTTCATCCTCGCTTCATCTTCATCTTCTTCGTCTTCTTCGTAAATCATTAGTTAGAACATTGATCCTGAACCAACAAGTGCGGATTACTCTTATCCTTGCAATTTGTGCAGCTCACCCTGTGTATATATTATTCATCTCTTTCTGTTCACTTCTTTGTGATATGTGTGCTCGTGTTATTTTAGCTTATCTATGCTATTTGACAACAATAACAAAAACACAGCTACTGAAAGGAACATAATTTTGTCATAATTTTGACATCAAAAACCTGTGCACTTTAAATTTGTTCAAATTGCACACACAAATACATTAGGGCTCAGCCAGTCAATTGTCCAGTTCTATTGGATCAGGGTCATCGCTAGTTTTTAATTATACAGGCTTTTCCACCAACTAATAAATATGTGCCGTCGGATAACTATGCATTTATTGCGTGCTTGCGTGAGTGCCGGCGTGCTAGCAAGAGAGAGAGAGTGACTGAGAGAGAGAACAGTATATCTGTGTTTATGTTCTTGTAACTCTTACCCTTTGCAGTGTCTTTGTTGATTTATTCACGTTATTTGCAGAGATTGTGCTGTTTATTTTGTGTTTATTTATGTGTGTTCAGCGTTGTTTTCAGTTAAGTCCACATACAGTTGCTGTCATGTTGCAGGTTCTTGAGGTTCAGTCCATTTGATGAGTACAAGGTGTGGAAAAAGCATGTTGACTCTGGGAGAGGTATCTCAACTATTGTATTATTTAAGCTCATTAAACTTGTCTCTCTTTTCCCTCCCCCCTTTCCCTTTTTCCACCCTGGCAAGTCTTCATCCTTTCACTGCTGGTTGTGACACAGTCCTGTAAATGCAGACGTATGCCATGTCTGCATAGTTAAAAGCATCACTAAATGCCATTGATTCTTTATTTAGGAGGCCAGCTTGTGAATATGTTAACTAAATATAGCATTTAGAGGGTTTTTTCCCTCTAGATTACAAGGAGAGATAGGCCCACTTCTCCTAAGAAGCATGTTGCAAAAGGCGTCTAACTAGGGTTTTACTGAAATCACATGTTTTCAACAGACAGGTGCTGCAGCCTGAATGTAAACCTCAAAATAGCATGAAAAATCACCTTAAAAAAACGTTTTTTTTCAGTCCCAAACAACACGTGGTGTGTTACTATTCCCCACATATCTCAAACATCACATCAAGTAGCTCATTATAGTTTTAGTCAGTGTATAAAATCTGCCAGCCACAGAGGAATCTTTCAATCATTTTTCATTCCTACAACACAGCAGGGGGTTAGAGTTTTCGCAGTAATATTTACAGAAAAATTGTGTTTCTTGAACAAAACCTAATGGGACTGAAAGAGTTAAGAGTGAACGAAGATGAAGACTCTAAACCTGCTTAGTCAACTCTTAAAATTAATGAATGAATCAGTCAATCAATAATTGACATCACTGCACTCGGGACATACCCACACGTGCTCCGTCTTCTTCTTCAGTAGCCAGTGAAGAGTCGACTGCTCTACAGTATGCATGTTGGATTACACTGTTACTGTCCTCTCCTTCCCTTATGGGCCCCACTTATACACAGACACATGAAAAGATGTGTTGGAGTGAGAGCACAGTGTGAGTGAGCAGCTATAAGAGACACTCCGTGTGAGTGGATAACAGCAAGGAATGGACTGGAAGAAGCCAGCCTGAAAAGTCAGCCCATCAGAAAAGTGCACGGAAAAGAGTGTTATAGCATCATTACAACTGACCGGAAATGTGCACATAGAATATGTTGATGATGATTACAGGTGTAATTTTAGAAGTCCCTGTACGGTTTCTGGGGTCCCATTAAATCAGATGTGTTGGATTGAAGGACTACTCAGATATCACATTCTAGCCAAAAAATCACACTGTACTAAGTGTTCTTTGGAGAGCAATATGAGACAATGAAATTTCGTTCTTTCTTTCTTACACCCGAGAAACCATAGAAGAAAACCAGATAATTTTGAACGGACATTGATTTTTTTTTTTGAGATGGACAAGCCAGAGGACAGAAACTAACATCTACTTGATTAAAAAAGGACAGCTCAGAACAGACAAAATCATAAACTTGATTGAAAAGGTGGTCCAGAATACTGATGGATAAGGGGGTTACATGAAACACTGAAAGCTAAAATGATGTTAAAAATGATTGTATGTTTCTATGTGTGTGTGTATGCATGTTGGTGGATGTATGTATGCATATGTAGCTGTGTAAGTATGTGTGTGTATTTAGGCATGAATGCAAGTATGTATGCATGTGTTTAAAGATGTAGGTGTATGTATAGATGTGTGTATGTATGTGGATATCTGTATGGGTGATTGTATATGTGTGTATATGTATGTAATGTGTGTGGGCATGTATGTGGGTGTATGTATGCATGCATGCATGTGTGTATGTATGCATGTTTGTGGATATATATATATATGCAATTGTAGCAGTGTAAGTATGTGGGTGTATTTAGGTACGTATGTATGTATGTGTGTAAAGATGTAGGTGTATGTATAGATGTATGTATGTATGTAAATATATGTATGCATGTGAGTGTAAGTATGTGGTTGTCTGTGTGTGTATTCAGGTATGTATGCAAGTATGAATGTATGTGTGTAAAGATGTAGGTGTATGTATAGGTGTGTGTGTGTGTGTATGCATGTATGTATGTAAATATATGTATGCATGTGAGTGTAAATGTGTGGGTGTATGTGGGTGTTTGTACATGTGATTGTATGTGTGTGTATGCATGCATGCATGTGTAGGTGTGTATGTATGGAATGAATGTGTGTGTGTGCATGTATGTGTGTGTTTTCTGTCTGTGCATTTATGTCTATGTATGGGTGTGTGTTTTCTGTTTGTGTATGTATGTAGATGCGTGTATGTATGTATTAGGTATGTCTGTATATGAATGTACATGTATGAGAATGTAAGAGTATATATACGTGTGTGTGAGTGATAACAGGCATTGGTACTCTGAAAAATGAGTGCTTAGAAGGGCCGAATGTCAGACGGGCCTGCTTGCCCAATTTGTAACCCTTTGAAAATAAAGTTTGTTTGTTTGTTTGTTCGTTTGTTCGTTCAACCAGTAATTGTTGTATTTCAGGTGACACTAAAAGACTCAACACAATTGTTAAGGCCCTGCTATTGAGGCGGACTAAAGAACAAACAAATAGTGAAGGTAAAACTCTTGTGCCTCTGCCAGGAAAGACCAGTCGGACTATCCAGGTGGAGCTGACCACAGAAGAGAGAACTGTTTATGATAAACTGTTCCGTAAAACACAGTAGGTGTTCATAGATATCATGTCATTCCTTCATGGGGGGGGGGGGGGGGGGGGGGGGGGGGGGGGGGGGGACGGGGGGGGGGGGGGTGGGGGGGGGGGGGGGTGGTCGGGGTGTCTCCCTCTGGAGTTAGGTGTAGTTTTTGGCGATAGTTGTGTTAGTCCCATTGCATTTGTGTAGTGTCTATTTTAATCTCTCTGCCAATCTCTTTCTTGGTTAGCCTCTGGCCTTGTAGCCTGCTGCTCTCATGTACTACGCTCTGGCTGCCCATTTTGTTCCAATCTGACCAGATGACCAAATCATTTGATTCTTTCATGTTCTGTGAAATCATTTACTGGTACAGTGCCTGCCATTGTTATTAGTTCTTCATTGGTGACTCTGTCACTTCTTTTTTTTTCTTCCACTGCATTACTTATACATCTCATTTCATATGATGTAATTTTGTGTTCGTTTTTCATGGGCATTGATAGCTCTAAGTTTGTTTGAACAGTGCATTTATTGGCTGCCTTTTAATGTGAATTTTAAAAACAAAAACACTTGTCTTGTGTAAACCACCATAATTCCTAGTTTGCCAAAATATTCTTATTCTTCTGTTTTTCAGCCCCCAGTCAGCACTCATTGGGTGATGTTGTCACCATCATGTCGGCCCCCTTTACTTCCCAGGACATTAGCTGTTACCCATTTTAAGTTGCATTGGCCTTAAAACCAAGTTGTACCAGTGTGGGTCCTGGGGTCCCATTGTGAGGTAAACAAGATTAGATCCACTGCCACCCTAGCAAGCATGTCTTACAAGTTAACAAATTAGGTACTTTCTCCAAAGTCGCAGTGCATCTGCATGAGAGGTGAGGAGCCAAAAGTCTGCATACAAATGAACCAAATCTGTAAAACTGGATCAAAAACTAAATAAAGGGCAGAAGTGGACTAACAACCAGAACTTTTCACCAGAGTTTATGGCCACTGAAAGCCAAGCAGAGTGGACTAACAACCAGAACTTTTCACCAGAGTTTATGGCCACTGAAAGCCAAGCAGTAGTGGACTAACAACCAGAACTTTTCACCAGAGTTTATGGCCACTGAAAGCCAAGCAGTAGTGGACTAACAACCAGAACTTTTCACCAGAGTTTATGGCCACTGAAAGCCAAGCAGTAGTGGACTAACAACCAGAACTTTTCACCAGAGTTTATGGCCACTGAAAGCCAAGCAGAGTGGACTAACAACCAGAACTTTTCACCAGAGTTTATGGCCACTGAAAGCCAAGCAGTAGTGGACTAACAACCAGAACTTTTCACCAGAGTTTATGGCCACTGAAAGCCAAGCAGTAGTGGACTAACAACCAGAACTTTTCACCAGAGTTTATGGCCACTGAAAGCCAAGCAGTAGTGGACTAACAACCAGAACTTTTCACCATAGTTTATGGCCACTGAAAGCCAAGCAGAAGTGGACTAACAACCAGAACTTTCCACCAGAGTTTATAGCCACTGAAAGCCAAGCAGAAAAAGAAGCCAATGTTAATTTTGAAGAAATAAAAATCTGCTCCAGTGTGGATTTGACTCCTAGCCTTTTGGGCTAGCAGCGAGCATCTAGCGGCTACGTAACTATGGCTCCCAGTCTACTTGTAGACCTGATTATTGCTGGATGGATTTTTGATGGGATTAGACAGTCACTCTCAGGCCACCTCAGATGTCTCTTGTGAGCTGCATTGTAGGATGTTATCATCATTCTTGGCTTCCCTTATGGGCTGTGGTAACACATTTACATTCCATGAATGGGTGATCTAAGTAATGGCTTCTTTATAATGGTAAACAGAAGAAAGTCAGTGATGTCTATTGGATTTGTAAATTAATTGGTACTAATTATCACTGAGAGTGGAGGGGACTTAATTAAATTTGGAGGACATACTGGATAACAAAACATGAAAGCTTGTAATCACAGTTTGATTTCCTGATAGAGGAGTCAGGAGTGTTGTGTAAAACAGTTTCACCAACCAGCAACTATTGTTACATACTTTGAGCCCATACTGCGATATTAAACAAGCAAGCAAATAGCGATCACACAAACATAGAAGGCTACTGGCCCAGTTTGCAGACTGGCTTTTACAGGATCAGCCATTTGACTGTACTAAAACTAGATCAGCCAATATACAGCAGGACCAGCTATTTGACCAATGAAAGCCCGATCAGCTACTATACAGCAGAATCAATCATTTGATTGACTAAAGCTAGATCAGCTACTATACAGCAGGATGAATCATTTGACTGACTAAAGATGGGTCAGCTACTATACAGCAGGATCAATCAATTGACTGGCTAAACCTAGATCAGCTACTATACAGCAGGATGAATCATTTGACCAACTAAAGCTGGATCAGCTACTATACAGCAGGATGAATCATTTGACCAACTAAAGCTGGATCAGCTACTATACAGCAGGATCAGTCAGTAAATTTGTCACAATATTTGTCCCTGGCTTCTATCTCAAGCACTGTCAAAGTGCCAGTTATTTCTGACGCAGATGTGTCTTCAGGGCCACACTTTGTCAAGTCAGATCTATACTTATGTATGAGACACTAACCTTTGATTAAATCAATAACAGGTCGACAGTTTTAGAGTACGTCCATCGCCATCAGGAGAAAGGGAGTGAAGCCAAGGGAGGCATCCAACCTGCAGGTGTTAGACCCAGGCAAGATCAGAACCTTCCACCCTCAGTTAGAATAGGTACTAGCAGTGTCAGCTGCGATCTGGATGTCGCAAACACGGGTAGTCAAGGGCGGAGCAGTGGCAGCCGTATTCTGGTGTCATTGTTACGAGTGAGACAGTGTTGTTCCCACCTCAGCCTGCTGAAGTCTGTAAGTGTTCGTCTGTTACTATTACTTGACCATTTCTAGATATCAGAAGGTACTGTGGCTTCATTATGGAAGGGGTGAGAAGTTGACCCACTGATTCCCCCCCCCCCCCCCCCCCCCCCCCAACAATCATGTCATAAAAGGTGACTAAATAGGGAAGTTACCTTCAGAGAGGAAGTGCATCTGTCTGAAAGGCAAGGAAATGACAGTCGGCCTGTAAATAAGCCACATCTGTGAAACATGTGTACACAAAACTTCTTCCTATGCTTTCTTTTTCCACTGGAGCATAGACTCCCAACCAACTCACCTATTTGTCAACAAAGTACTAGTCAGCGTATTCAGATTAGTAACAACTTTATAGGGAGACTGAGGAGATAAATATAAAAAAGTTGGACTCAGTTGTTTGGAGAGAGCTTACGCAGCAGATCAATGTCTGGCACACTAACTTACTGTCCCAGTAAAAAAGTTCTGAATATCCATCAAGGCAGATTATTAGTGTTAATTACTAGGACTCACCCAAGCTAAATGGGGTACCAGCATATGCTCTTGGAGGTAAAGACAGGCATTGTAGTATTGCCTACATCAGCCATTGGGTGTTCGATTAGTCTCATCCCTTTTACCCCAGAAACCCCAGGAGAAAAAAAGCCATGAACCTGGGAATTCCTGAGAAAACATGCTTAAAAAACCCCAGTTTTACACAGATGATTAATACCTGTGAGCCTGTGGTTTTCAATGTTTTGTTGATTTTTTCAGGCAGTCTGCTCCAGTATCTTCCTCCTGTTCTGTAACCCTTAAGGGGTCTCCATGGCGAAGTGGTTAAACCATTTGCCCCGCGCTGTGAAAGTCGTGGACTAATTTCACGGCTGTGCCATTCAGCCTAAGAGTGCAATTTTTACAGAGATCCCTGGAGATCATAACAGAAGCTATGGAGTTGGTGCTTTATGCAGCGCTCTCAGCATGCAGCAAGCTGTTCGGTGGAGAGAAACAAAGCCATTTTAGATATAAAACCTTGTGCAATGAAGTCTATCCACTCGACTTTAACTTTAAACGATTATTCTACAGTTGTAAGGATGTCTCAGGTCAGGTTCACTTAGGCAAGTGAACCCTCTATGCCTCATCTACAGAGTCAAAGAATAGGAATCTCCCTCTCTACACACTGATGGACACAGATAAAAATGCTGCTGAGAGGGTGGCTTCACAAGGAAAAGCCAGAGAGGCTTTTAAAGACAGACCTCCCAAACAAACAATATACACAAGAGACCAGTCTGTGAATCTTCCCCTAAAATATTATACCTCCCAGCGTTACTGGTTAAAGGAGAAGGGTTCGGAGACAACTGACAAAACTGGTTGTGTTCACTCACAAAACATTTAATATAAATTAAATGGACTCCAAAACTAGGAATTCGGTTACTCAATAATATTGTAATGGATCAAAAGATGTGAACTGTTTTGGTAGTGAACCATTAACGTAAACATAAAATCATAGGACCACTTGGATGTGTTCTTTCTGAGTGGCTGGACATGACACTCATCTGATGTTTTTGTTTCCTCCCTCTGCTTGATCGGCCACCACTGATCCACACAAAAAGGATGTTGACTCTTGAAGATTGTGCTTGACGATCAAGACATCCACCTGGAACCCTGGCAGGAAATCAATATGATCATCTAAAATTGCTACTTCTGACTTAGCTGACCGCCGGCTGGCGAATTATAGTCAGGACGTTCTGCCTACACTACTTCCCGCTGAAGCAACAAGAGATCTAGAGCCCTCACGCAAGTCACCTGAAAACAAGCTCTCCTACTTTGACAGTAAAAGCAATCTAGGACTTACGTATTGACAAATTCTCCTGTGTCGCCGCTGCCATATATCACAATACTGATACATTATTAACGAAAAATATAATAGCGTTAGATTACAGCTATCTATTAAATAAAGCAGGAGACACGAGGCACCTCGTGACAAGGGATACAGTGGCAGCTTTGTATGTCCTATTATCATTAGATGACTGAACCACCTTATTCTTTTGATTAAATTGTTTATGATGGGTTCTTGTGACTATTTTCACTCCAAACACACCGTGATTGACCTTTCATACATGCTTGCTGACCTTTCATACGTGCTAGTCTAAGTTACAGGGGTGTCACATAGTGTTGTGTTTGATGCTGTCACAGGTGATGTCGCGTGTTCTGTATTACACGATCTGAACCGCTTTTAACTACCCCAGAACATCTAAAACACTCTAACCCCAAACCCCACAGCCTCAGCTTATGTCCCACTCGAGAGTGCAGCCTACATTCCGTGGTTTCCGAATTCTTAACATTTTGCAGTGGGCCCTAAAAGCCGTCTTGCTGCAAAAAAAGCAAGGCTGCTCTCCTTATCGCTCGTCAGCGTTGACAGCTGAACTAAATTCATGTTGCACTTCAAGCCTGATAAGGCTATAATATGCGCAGTGTTGCTGGCTGCTCACCACTCACAACGAACAAAACACGCACGCAATATAGACAGCTCAGAGCATCAAACGCAACACATCACGACACCCCTGTAACCTAGACTAAAGCATGTGAAAGGTCAGCGAGCATTAACGAACCGCCAATCACAATGTTTTGGGGGCGAAAAACAGGAAGTATCTTATGATGTAATTTAATCCAGCATTTAGATGCAGCAAGTGTAGAATCTGATGGAATTGAGCTGACGTTAGAAGAGCAACTGAAAGGCATGGTGCTTGATGACATGGACGCCAAGGTACCTGGATCCGTTGACTCTCAAAGCTGTTTCAGAAGTCATCACTTAGTGCAAAGGTGAGAGTGTTTTTCCCTCCAGTAACTCACATAAGGATCTTCTTCTTCTGTTTTCACTCTTAAATTTAGACCTGATGGAACTAGGTGGCTAATGTAGAAATATTGCAATGGTGTCTTCTATTTTCCATATTTTCTAGTACCTCTTTAGGAAAAATTGATCTGGAGGCCTGGGTTCTACAGACAATTTTGTTAGAAACTTTGTTGTGGCTCCCAGTTTATCATCATCCTATTGTGTTTTCGGTCAGCTCTGTGGCTAAGTCGATGCGAACGCTTCGTAATGCCAGGTTCGATCCCAGCTGCGGGCCATGCGCCTTTCATTGGTTTCGACAGTGGTATCAAGAAAGCCAACCGTCCAGAAAGCAAAGGCAAACTACTGGACGTAAATTTGCCTAGAACGTTCTGCGATGTCCTGTAAAGGATACGCATTGTGTTTTCATTCGTTATATAGGGCTGGTAGTTTACTCTACCATTTCAATCTGTCGTGTGCATTTATTTTAATTGCATTTATGGAATCCAGTTCCTTTGACCTCTCTTGAACATTCATTGTAGGGTTTCTTGTGGATGTCCTTGCATCCTTCAATCCATTTGTTTCCCATTTATATGCCTGTTTGGCGATTTTCTGTTTGCTTCATCTGATGATGTGCCCAGTATATTACTAACTTCTTTGTCTTATAACTGGATGGAACATACGTATCCTAAAAATCATATATGCATTTACTGTTTGATTTTTCTAACATGTATTTATTTGAGTAATAAACTCAGTTTATAATACTGAGAACCCTTGCTTTTAATTAAATACCATACTTAATTTTGAACAGAGCTATTGACACATTGTTTACGGAATATCTTTGTACATGTTGTTTGAACATCACACACACACATTCTGACTAGCATATGTGCCACAGACTTGGACATAGGAAAACTCTGGACTAGCACATATAATGTGTGGTTTGGGTAGTTAGGATTAGCTTACCTTGGCTATCTTCATAAGTGCTTGTATTTCCTCTTACAGACTGTACACTAGCAGAATCTGAAATAGTTTACAAAATGTTAAGTGATGGCCAGGATCCAGATTAGTGTGAGCCAGAATTACACATGCTATAAAAATGATTTCAGTTGGTAAATTTTCTCATTTGAAACATATGCCCTTCCCTGTTTGGACTTCAGGTTACATTGTCTCTGTCAGAGGCCCCAGTCTTACGGTTGAACAGGATGTCTAGGATTTGTACCTAGGGATTCTCTGCATAATGACTCTTTGGGTCCCGGCTGTTTACCACTCAGTATTCGGTCTTAGTGGGGTTCAACTTTGCATGCTCATTTGAATTGTAACTTGGATTTCATTTTATTTAAACCTACTCTTAAATTCTCAACTGACGAGGAAGTTTTAACATCCATAGCATGTATTTTTCTCTTCCCTCACATTTATTGGGAAAGGGGAAGGGAAGGTGTGTCTGATTCATAACACCAGGATCAAGAAGAAGTATATCATCCTTGGGTTAGTTCATTTATGAAAGTCCACACTGGCACCCATACCCAACCTTCTTGACCTAGAGATTCACCTCAGAGTTACACTTCATCTAATTGATGTTTAAGTCTACCAGCTTGTGGTAGAATCTGTATTTAGGCTTGAAGGTCAGCCCAGCCTTAAATAGGTACCATGTAGGGTCCTGGGAAGTAAAAGTGGCTGGCATGGTGTTGACTTAATCACCAACTGAGTGCCCATTGGTCTATAAAAATGTGAGCCTTAAATCACACTCCAGATGCGCCATTAATGTAAAAAGGATCCTTTGCTTTGCTTACTCACAAGCTGTTTCTCAGTTGTCCATGTTGTAATGTGAATGGATATTATTTTACAGCTGAAATGTGTCATGGAGATGGTGTCTTCAATACAGCAAGGTGGAGACTCTACAGCAAAAGATAAAAGGTACAAAATTATAACTGTTGCATCCATCTGTTACTGTAGTCCTTAAAGAAGTAATCAAGAATAGTTGTAGTAGTCGAGGTTTCAGCTTTACTGCAAACTAGTTGCCTTATAGTTTCTCTGTTTCTGTGTAAGTGGAAATACATGAAATGCCCCTCGCTGTTCATTTGAAAACTGTTAAAGAAAAAAATTAGTCTGGGCAAAATCTAGAAATATGCACATGTAGTTACTGCTAGAGATGCCAACACCAACAGTCACCACTAGAATTTCAGTATGTCATTGATGGAAGTAAGGAGTCCGTTACGACGAGCTGGCTGTATACACACATAATTATTGCATAAGGTAACCATTTTACCAGCCAAAATGCAAACTGGCTACCCGCCATTTTCTGAATATCACAACACAACTGATGCAGGCACAAACAAAAGGCATTCCACACAAGATACACAGCTCACAGTGCTGCACCAAGCACTTAAGTCAGTAGCTCAGGCAGTGAAGCTGTAGACACCATTCCATATGTGGAATTGCAGGAGTCCACCATATTAAACCAGAAGTAAATTAACGCTGTAACATACTGCATCTTTTATAGGAGGCATCTAAAATGGTTTGCCTGCTTAGAGAGATTTGTGACTCTACAATTTAAGGCATATACCAGAAGGGGAGAGAGGCATAGAGCCAGAGGTAGATCAGGAACAAGACAGAAAGATAACATCCTGGAAAACTCTACACAGCACAATGTGTCTCTGGTTGAGGCAGCTAGAAGAGCAAGAAGCAGAACCTTATGCGTCTCTTGACACCCAAGCAGTAAATGAGGAAGTGGACGAGAAGACGAGGACAATCAACTGGTATCCTTGTCATGAAGAAAACTAGCTGCAAAATCCAATCAGACATGAATAAATCCTTGCAGGATTTGGCGTGGTTTAGTTGAGTGCCTATGCTGTGGGAGATGGAAAAAAAAGGGGGTGGGGGTGAAAAGAGTATATTTTTCAGTTACTGAACAATTTCTTTGCTTGGAATGATTTTAGTTTCAGATATTTTACAACTTACAGAACAAAAAAGTCTTTGCCTGAAATGATTTTAGTTTCAGATATTTTTCAGCTAATGGAACAAAATGTCTTTGCCTGAAGGGATTTTAGTTTTAGATATTTTACAACTTACAGAACAAAACTTCTTTGCCTGGAATGATGTTTTAGATATTTTTCAGTTTACCGAACATCTTTTGCTTGAAATGGTTTCAGTGTCATCGTCTCACAGTGGACTCAGATGCTGGAAGTGGTAGCCTACCATCTGAACAAGGCTGGTATACAATACCAAGTGATTCAAGGGGACATACCTGCCAAGAAACGCATGGACATTGTTGATGACTTCAACCTGAACTCACAAGGGCCTTCAGTATGTAACAAATATTTATGTTTGTACTGTGTAACACAACTTCTGCTCAACTTGTGACCTGAGCAACTTATGACCATCCACATTTATGACGATCATCATCATGTAGCAGGTCCTTTGCAGAACATCGCTTTCATCACGGTCTGCCTGAAAAAAAACTCGGTCCTCGCCAGCTCTCCCTCCTCATGTACTTTCATACTCAAGGAGTCACTTATATCCTGGGCCCATCTTCGTGTTGGTCGGCCTCTGCCCCTCCTTCCTCATACCATGCCTTCTGCTATTATTTTTTCCAATCCGTCGTGGCGCTTAATATGACCAATCTTGCTTGATGTTCAGATCTTTCAAGATGTCAGTATTTCTCCTCTTCTTTGTCCAAGATATTCTGAGAATCTTTCTAAAGCATTTCAGCTCCAAAGCCCCTATTCTCTTTCTTAAGGACTGGGAGGTAGTCCACGACTCACATCCATATGTTGCTACAGGGAAGATGCATGCTCTCAAAATTCTAATTTTGATCTCCTTGCTGGTGCTTAACCATAGACTTTTAAGGCTGTTAAATCTTTGCATTGCTATGGCCATCCACCTTTCAATTTCTGCCAAACAGTCTCTGTTGCTGTTTATTACAGAGCCTAGATATTCCAAGTTTGTGACATTTTCAATTTTTTCATCATTTATTGTTATTTTTGGGTGACAGCCAGTTTTATCTGTGGACATTATTTTTGTTTTCTTTAAATTTAAGAACAGATTTTGATCTTCACTGTGCTTTTGGACGGACAATATTAAATTTTCTATTCCCTTTACGCTGTTCGAAAGGAGGACTGTATCATCTGTGTAACAAAGTTCCGGAATAGGGTTGCCACCAATTTTGAGCGGATAATAATTGTCACAAGTCTGGTCATTTTTGACATTTCTCATGATATTTTCTGTGTATATATTGAATAGGTATGGTGAGAGAATGCCTCCCTGCCTCACTCCCTTTTGCACCTCGAACCAATCCGATATTTCACCAGCTGCTCTGATGGCTGCTTGTTGTTCTTGATAAAGATTTTCAATTAAATGCACTAAATGCGATGGAAACCCCATACTTCTCATAACAGTCCACAGCTCCTGATGCTGGACACAATCAAATGCCTTGCATAAAGATCTACATTGTATTCTCTACATTTTCCATTATTCTCATGTTAAAGATGTGATCCCTAGTTCCTCTATCATGTCTGAAATCCGCTTGTGCTTCATGTAGCTCATATTGTAATTTTCTTTCAATCCTTTTTATGATAATTCGTAAGAGGATTTTGCTAGCATAACTTATTAACGCGATGGTACTGTAGTTGGAGCCTAGTTTTGGATTTCCTTTCTTTGGGAGAGGGATATAGATTGTTCTTTTCCACGCTTTAGGCCAAATACCAGTGTTCCAGGTCTTCGTGCACAGTGCATGGTAGATTCGGACCTGGTAACTTTCCTTTCTTCAGGCTGTATATTGCTGATCGTACCTCATCCAGTAAAGGCTCTGGTTCTTTTTCATAACTTTCATAAGTTGTTTTTGAATTACTTGTCAGATCCTCATAAATTTCTCTACAGTATTCTTTCCATCTTTCTAATATGTCTTCCGTTAATGTGTTACTGTTTTCATCATTTATTACATGAAAAGATGGCCTGAATTCACCTTTCAGTGTTTTAATTTCTTTAAACATGTCTGTCTCTTCTTTGCATCTTGAGTTGTTCAATTCTATTACAGGTATTCATAATAAACTGTTATTTTTTTAAAATCTCTTCTGATTTCTTTCATGTAGTTCCTTTATGCATGGCTATTTGTTGACCACAATACGTAAAAAGATAAAAATAATAAAGAAAGATAACTACCTTGATATTGTTTAAAAAAAAATCTAGGAACTGATGCTGTAGAGAATATAGTAGGTCTTTTTCACAATATGTACAATAATTGTACTTACTTAGATCTACATTTTTGTCTTTAATGTACTATCTGTGTAACCCATTTGAATGAAAATAGTGTTGACAAATATAACTTCAAGTTCGAGTGGTCGTAATTTTACCTCTTTAGTCAGAACAGAACTTGGTTATAAGTCAAGGCGACCCTTATTTATATTTTAAGACGAAGGTTTTTCATGTGTGACATTTACTGTATTCTTATGCTCTTTTTGGCAGACAAGTTGTGACATGCAAAACAAAAATTTTGGAAGGCGGTGCTAAAATCTGGAATTAGCTAAATGAGCTTTTGTAAACTTGTATCTAATTTGTTTTTAGTTTCCTGATAAATCCAATAGCACCCCAAAAACAGAAGAAAAAACAACAACAGGGAAATGCATACCATTTAATGCTTCACTATATTCTTGTTGATTGAATGCTTCCTTTATGTATCTTGATATGCATTTCAAAATAAAAATGTAGATAAATAAATGTTAAAACAGTTTATTAGTTACCGTGTTCAAATTTTTTTTTTTTCAAGTTTGTTTCAGAAGTTCCCAAGGGTTCACAACTTTAATTTTTCATTCGGGGTGCAAAAAGGTTAATATATAATTTACCCATTTTATGTATCAAATAAATTTATTTCTGGACAGAGTAAATCTTTATTTAGGTAAAAGTAAACAAAGAAAACTGTTACTAACATCATTAAAACATTCTTACTCATGTACTTTGTGTCCAGCTGCGAGATAACTTCTGCCAACTATTGTCTGCTTGACTTTCAGGTCTTGCTTCTCTCACTGCAAGCTGGAGGTGTCGGGCTGAATTTAGTTGGAGGAAATCATTTATTTCTTCTGGACATCCACTGGTAGAGTTGCAGAATTCATTATTTGTATTAAATGTTCACTAACAAGTGTATATGCCGTGTTTATGTTTTCCTATTCATTGATGCCAAGTCATTAACAACAGCTAGCATTGTACTGATAGGTAAAACAATTGTGAAGATTGAGAAAAGTGATAGTATAGTGTTAATATAGTGATTATATTATGCTAAGATAGTAATACTATTCTATAGTAAAAGTAAAGGACCCTTTTCCACTCCTGAGGTGTATTGGGCATATAAGGCTAGGCCTATATTTTATAGATCAATTGGTACTTGGTGAGTGATGTGGTCAGCATCATGCCGGCCGCCTCTGCTTCCCAGGACTTTACCTGGGACCCATTTTAGGCTGGGTTGGCCTGGTCAGTTTTGAAGAAAAATCCCGCTCTGCCAGGATCTGAATCAACATCTTTCTAATCCGCAGGCATGTGTCTAGCTGCTACACCACGGTGGATAACAATAATATTATAGTGATAAATAAATAATTCAGATTCTGTATTAAAGTGTAACTTGTGAAAAGGAAGTTGGTATTCTTGGTGCGTGTGTCGTACAGTTATTAATCTTGTTTGACAAAACTGTTGAACCTGACTATTCATTGGCAAAATGGTTTTAAAATTTACTGAATGTGCAATGAAGTGTGGCATGTTCTGGCAACCTCAAATAGCTTCTGATGTTGCTATATAAAATTTGATACCAAGTGTTTATTAGCATTCATTTTTTAAAAGCCAGTCTACTCTGGCATTAGGCCGAAAGGTAGCTGTCCAAACAGCTGGATCATCATTAAAATGTAGCCTTCTAAACACAACTGATTAGAAACAAAAGGAGACTGTCCAAACACTACTGATTTAAATCAAAAGGTAGCTGCAAATATCACTGGATAAAATCAATAGGTAGCTATCCAAGTATCATTAGATGATAACAATGGGTAGTTGTTATAATATTATCAGATAAAAACAAAAGGTAGCTGTGTATATATCATTGGATAAAATCAGTTGATAGCTGTCCAAATATTGGATAAAATCAACGGGCAGCTGTCTAAATATAATTGGATAAAATCCACAAGCAGCTATCCAGATATCACTGGATGAAATCACTAGGGTAGCTTTCCACATATCGCTGGATAAAAACCCAAATATCACCAATGTTTAAAGATACTTTTGTAAACTCAAACCACATTAGAGACATTATCTGCTACTGGACTTCACATGGTGCTGATCTTCTTCTTATTCCTAACCCTCTCTGTAAATTTCGGCGGAAAGTTCCGGTTGTTCATCCACTCCTGGACTTCAGTCTTGTTCCTGAAAGTTTTGCGTGTATATCTGTTTGAACATTTCTGGCTTATTTGTTTGCAGACTGTTGTTTTCTTGCCTTTGAAGCACGCCGGCTAATTGGTTGCCTGCTACGACATGCTTTTGGGGGGAGGGCATGGGGAGTGTGTCTGTTCTTTGTTCTCCAAATTGAAGCCCAGGAATCAACATCGGGACACAGATGACAATGTGTTCCTTATTGTACATTCTGTTTATGAGAACCAGGTGATGACTGAATCTGCAACCATGACCAGACTGCAAGAACAACATGTTAAAGGGGTGTGCCAGACAAGAGCACTATATACAGGAAGCCAAAGAAGAATAAGAAACCAATATGGAACGGAAGTCATCAGCTGCTACACGCTTGATTTACTGAGGAGGTGATCCGGGCCCTTATGGACTGAATGGTTTAATGTGCAGTGAGGATAATCTATCGACTAATTTACCTACTAACTAACATTCTGTTAATTGAGATGTTTATTTTATCTACAGGAATCCGGCCTTGGAGGAACAGGCGTGTGACCGCATTAACAGAATGGGACAGAACAAAAATGTTTTTATCTACAGGTACTGGGATTGTTTGTTCTGCTAGGATTTTCTTTGTTTTCATTGCAGCATCCGTCTCTAACTTAGCTGGTGTGGGCTGGGAACAGTTTTGTCCCCATAAGGTCCATGTTTGGCACCAGTTTTGTCCCCATAAGGTCCATGTTTGGCAACAGTTTTGTCCCCATAAGGTTCATGTTTGGCACCAGTTTTCCCCCGTAAGGTCCATGTTTGGCAACAGTTTTGTCCCCATAAGGTCCATGTTTGGCAACAGTTTTGTCCCCATAAGGTCCATGTTTGGCACCAGTTTTTCCCCCGTAATGTCCATGTTTGGCAACAGTTTTGTCCCCATAAGGTCCATGTTTGGCACCAGTTTTTTCCTCATAATGTCCATGTTTGACAACAGTTTTGTCCCCATAAGGTCCATGTTTGGCAACAGTTTTGTCCCCCGTAAGGTCCATGTTTGGCAACAGTTTTGTCCCCATAAGGTCCATGTTTGGCAACAGTTTTGTCCCCATAAGGTCCATGTTTGGCAACAGTTTTTTCCCCATAAGGTTCATGTTTGGCACCAGTTTTCCTCCGTAAGGTCCATGTTTGGCAACAGTTTTGTCCCCATAAGGTCCATGTTTGGCAACAGTTTTGTCCCCATAAGGTCCATGTTTGGCACCAGTTTTTCCCCCGTAATGTCCATGTTTGGCAACAGTTTTGTCCCCATAAGGTCCATGTTTGGCACCAGTTTTTTCCCCGTAATGTCCATGTTTGACAACAGTTTTGTCCCCATAAGGTTAATGTTTGGCAACAGTTTTGTCCCCCGTAAGGTCCATGTTTGGCAACAGTTTTGTCCCCATAAGGTCCATGTTTGGCAACAGTTTGGTCCCCATAAGGTCCATGTTTGGCAACAGTTTTGTCACCTGTAAGGTCTATGTTTGGCACCAGTAACACAATGTTGAGTTTAAAAAAACGTAATTACTATATTTAATAGTGGTTTTTTAGTGTCATTTGTTACATGTTTGTTCTGTAAAAATGGTGACATCTTTTCAGTGATTTTATCTGTGGTCTGTCTCTGCTTCTATTCACCACAGTAATATTGCACATGTAAAATCTTTAGCATTTTCTCCTCAGTTGTAATGTCTTTTGTGGGATTATTTCCTTATTTACACATTATTGTTTTTATAACTTATTTGTGGCTTGTTTTTCCAACACAGGTTTTTATGCAAAGACACTATTGAAGAGAAAATTGTTGCTCTACAAGACAAGAAGCGCTCATTGGCCAAATCTGTTCTTTCTGGGTAGGAAAATGGAGTGTTTGTATCATCGTTATCATCTGTTAGTGACATGCAGTGTATTGAGTATACATTGTTTCATTGCCACATTATTGTGTAGACCAGTCGACATCTGATAAAGAGTTCAAATAGAGTTGACCATGGGGGCAGACTAAGAAGATGGTGGAGAGATAATAAATGCTTGCCGGCACCAACTGGAAAGAGGCCAGTCACAGAGATTATTGGCGTGGGTGATATCTGCAGCAGTGAGCATCAAGGGCTTGGTGCCATCAGAAAGGACTTGTCATTTGATGTAGAAATAGGACAGAGAGTTTCTATGCTGGGTGTACGTAAAAACTGGTGTTCCCTGTGTCCTAAAACCCAGTTTGGTCCCTCCCTGTGATTGTTGGGTGTTGAGGACAGCTAAGATGGTGTCTCCCTAATGTATTGTGATGTTTAAAAAGACGCTTGGTACTGGTTTTGTCGCACTGACCAAAACAGTGGTATCTTCAAATGCTGAGGAAAAAATTGATGACATGGTCAGTATTTGGCCAGCCACATTTACTGAACATTTTCAAGTGTTCAGTTTAGGCTTTGCTGACCTGGAAGTTGAAAAAATTTACCTAGGGCTGTACCGAATAGTGATTTTCACAATTTGGCTGAATATGAATAACGGGACCAACTATTCGGCCGAATATGAATACAAATAGTTTATAGTGTATAAAATATATCTGTATAAAAAAAAAAAAACACACATTCATGATGTCAAATGTACATAGAATTTTGCTTCACATTAAGTAGCACAGAATATTCATCTTCTTTCCTTAGCATTCTCAGCCCCTGAGGTTTACTGCTGCAGATATCACTCGTCTCCATTCATCTCTCTGGCTGGCCTTGAGGTTTACTGCTGCAGATATCACTCGTCTCCATTCATCTCTCTGGCTGGCCTTGAGGTTTACTGCTGCAGATATCACTCGTCTCCATTCATCTCTCTGGCTGGCCTTGAGGTTTACTGCTGCAGATATCACTCGTCTCCATTCATCTCTCTGGCTGGCCTTGAGGTTTACTGCTGCAGATATCACTCGTCTCCGTTCATCTGTCTGGCTGGCCTTGAGGTTTACTGCTGCAGATATCACTCGTCTCCATTCATCTCTCTGGCTGGCCTTGAGGTTTACTGCTGCAGATATCACTCATCTCCATTCATCTCTCTGGCTGGCCTTGAGGTTTACTGCTGCAGATATCACTCGTCTCCATTCATCTCTCTGGCTGGCCTTGAGGTTTACTGCTGCAGATATCACTCGTCTCCATTCATCTCTCTGGCTGGCCTTGAGGTTTACTGCTGCAGATATCACTCGTCTCCATTCATCTCTCTGGCTGGCCTTGAGGTTTACTGCTGCAGATATCACTCGTCTCCATTCATCTCTCTAGCTGGCCTTCTTTTCACAATTTGTGACACCAGTTGTTTGCAGGTCTGACTGGACATTATCTCTGGAACTTCTTTTTCGTCTGCGTCTACGCCATTCTTCTCTCAGGTGTATCCAGTTTTTACTTCTTTGTCATCTGACATTCTTTCAATATACCCCAACCATTTTAGTCTGTTAGCTCTCATGATGCCAGTGATCAATGGTGACTTAAACAGATTATGTGTTACGTTGTTGCTTCTCACTTTCCATTTCCCGCTGTTTGCATCTTTGATGGGTCCAAAGATTTGTCGTAAGACTCTGTTTTCGAAAACCTGTAATAAGGCCTCATCTCTTTTATTTCTGCTTCAAGTTTCAGAGCCATATAAAACGACTGGTCTTTTCAACGTTTTATATATTTTGTTCTTGGTGTTGAGAGACAGACACATTGACTTTAGTAGATGTTGAAGGACATAGTTTACTTTATTTCTAGATTGTACTCTAGATTGTATTTCTTCTCTCAGCATGTTGGAGCAGTTGAAGTTTGCACCCAAGTACTTATAAGATTCCGTTCGTATGATTTTCATATTATCGACTTGGATGTGGCCGGAGTTTATATTCTTTCCATGTCTAGTTAGTATTCGTACAGGATAGTAAACATTTAAAAACATTTTATGTTTTGCATCCTTCAGTCAGTCTGTGATAACTAATAGCTAGGAATGAAAGAATCCTGAGTATTATAACAAGTAACTAAACTTGGAAATTGTCACTGACAGCTTGGTTAATGCATGAAAGCTCCATTAGCTTTCAACAAAACTAATCGTTCCATGTTGTCAGTATTAAGGCCGTGTATGCAGAAGCTGGTGTAAGGTAACTACTATTCGTATTTGGCCCGACGGCAACTATTCGGCCAAATACCGAATAGTCAATAGGTCCACTATTCGGCCCCGAAGCGAATATTCGGTACAGCCCTACTAAAGACATAAGCAGTAGACAAATGGATAATAATCTGGCATCTGTGCAGTGCATGCTTGTTTTTATAAATATTGTCCTTAGTCTATCCCTTCCTCATTTCTAGTCATTGTGTTTCTTCCTGTCTTGGGTTTGATCAAACCTTGAAAATCTTGCTTTTTGATTATTTCAGATAATTTTATTATATTGTATTCTCCAGAAAAGGTCCTTTGTCAGTCATCTTTGTTCTTTTCTCTAGTCCTTGGTCTGTCTTTCAGCACCAGATTTGACGAGACATCTGGCCAGAGACTTTGTGTATGCTATGTAGATGCTGGTTGTCATAGCCTTAGATAGTTCATCTGTTCATTACTTACAGAATGAAATAATGCACTTTTAGTGTTTTTTTCACTTCTCTGTTAGCTGGTTCACAGTTCTAGACAATCAGGCAATTCTTGGCTACCCAGTTTCAACTGATCATTGATCAAATACTTCTAGATCATCAAGCTTCAGCCAATAATTCAACAAATCATATTAAAACATTGTTTCAACTAATGATGGATCAAGTCATTCTGTCGTTACAACGACCCATGGATTATCTTATTCTAGGGTGTCCAGTTTTAGCCAATAACTCATCATCATGTAGCAGGTTCTTTGCAGAAGGTCGTTCTCATCATTGACTGCCTGAAAGAAACTTGGTTCTTGCCAGCTCTCCCACCTCGTAAATAGTAGATAACACTGATGAGACAAGATGCTGTTTAGTAGCCAATCTTCCTTGATGTTCAGATCTTTTAAGATGTCAGTATCTCTTGTCTTCTTTGTCCATGATATTTGGAGGATTTTCTATATGTGATTTTTTTTTTTTCAAAGTCCCCCCCCCCCCCCCCCCCATCATTAATTGACTGAGTGTTATTTAATGGGAATTTTTTTGTTTTGTTGCAGGACTGGAGCCAGTGGCCAGAACAAACTGAGTCTATCAGATCTGCGCATGTTGTTTCAAGTCTAGTCGTTACATGTCCTCAAGATTTATGTTTGTAGACAACAAACCGGTGTCACCTATGTACTGATGTTTAGTATTGATGTTTTTAAATTTCAGTTTCACTTGGAAAGTTCTGTTTATGCAGCAGAGACTGCTTGTCTCATGTCCACTTACCTGACAGAAATTGATTAAAGATGAAAGTGGCGTTTGCTAGTTTGCATATATATATATTATTAAATATGCATATTTTGATCATGAGAGATCAAAGTGATTATTCTTTTATTTGCTTCAGGTACATGTTTGTTAATATACATATTTGTACTGAATATATATTTATTAATCACAAGAAATTGAGCTGATTATTTTTTCATTTGCTACCATAACAAACTTCATTGTTAACCTTTTGGCCTGGAGAAGCTGCTTAACCAGCATTACTGCCCTGGCCAGTCCATGACAGACCTAGTTAATGGCATTGGTCCTGTTTGCACCTGCACAGTGTTTAGGAAACAAAAAAGAAGGGGGGGGGGGGGAAGGGGGTGTGCCCTGATGACATTGTAAATTTTCCTTCACCCTTTAGTAATTGGGGTCACTGTACGAGTCACCACATACATTTTTAGGGCCAAGGAAGTGAGGTCATTCAGTCCTCGCTCTGTTGGTGTTCATTGAGTCACATATTTGTGAAACTTGTACATAAATCAAACTGAAAAATGTTAGTCATCTGTGTAAAATTGGTGCTCTTTAAAAGAATTGGAGCGGCGAGGGGGTTCCTGATCTGAGCTCTTTCCCCGCAAAAAGTTTGTGTGGTGAAAGGACCTGCCCACATTATGAACAATTGTCCACCATGAGATCATAGAATTTCAGGACCATTATTACCAAAGCACATTGAGACCTCAGAATTTTAAGGGACAACAAACAAACAAAAAATCAAAAATCAAGAGTTTAATTAATTTGTGCCAACTGGGCACTATTATGAATAATACATCCTTGATATGGCAAGAATGTTGTTCATGTTAACTGAGTGTTCATCTTAAAGCAAGTTCATGTTAACAAGATTTTACTATAATAAATGGGTGCTTCAGTTATAATTCACCCCAAACAAAGGAAATCTGGGAGTTCAGGGAAACTCCAATATTGTAGTGGTGTTATTGATTAGGGTTAGTTGGTGTCGCTGAAGCGGTCAGGGCTGATAAAGATCAGTTCATTTTTGTGCCAGGGCACGCAGACCTTCTCTCGCTATTGTGCGACCAAATTATCGCTTCAGTGTTCATTTCAAACTGTAACACCTCTAGAATATTGGACTTTCCTGGAAACTCCCGGATTTCCTTTGTTTGGGGTGAATTAATTGAAGTACCATTAAATGTGCTTCTCAGATGCTCTTGCTCTAAACCTCTCTGTATTGATTTTTCTCTTATCCATATTCCAAATGTACCACCTTTACCGCCTTTACTTCCCAGTAATGCACCCGGTACCCACTCAAGGCTGTGTCGACTTTATTTCACTGCATAAATTGGGTGCTAGTACACATCCCTGTCAAACGCCTTGTTTAATGTTTTGAAAAGTTCCAGCTTGGTTGTCAGTCCTTACGAGTGCTTATTTTTGCCAGTATATGTTTTTTTTTTTAATTATTCTCAGATCTTAATCATCAATGTTTGAGGTTTCCAAACCTCTAATAATTTCTCTAAGCCTCACATGTGAAAGTTATTTAGCTATTTCTCTTGGCAGGAATTAAGTCGACCAAGTCTCACAGCCGTAAAGAAAAGTTCTGAGAACACAAGACAGACAAGGGTTTTTATGTATCAGTAAAACCATTATTATTATGCATATGCACTTTATTCATACAGGAAAAAATTAACCAAAAACCAAAGGCATTCTATGTTAACAAGCAACATTTCAAACACAATCAAATCAGCCTAACATTTGTTATACACTAGAAATAATCTTTGTTTTTTTTTTTTAAATGTTTTGGTAAAACAATTCTACAGTATGATACATTAGTGCAAGAAATAGGTTCTGATGCTGAATAAAAGTGCATACATACTCAATTCAAGATGCTGAATTTGACAAGGAATCAAAACATGGTTATCAGAATGTCTATAGGTCCCTTGAAAAAGCAAAACATGTCAATAAAACAATGGATTTAGTTGCTAAAATTATACAAATGGATATATATATATATATATATATACAAGTATGACTAGTCGGCCACCATTTTGATTCCCTGTGTCACATAGGAGTACAACTAAGCTTTGACATTAGGGTAATTAAAAAAAAAAAAAGGCCCTGTTCTAACAAAACTGTGCTGACTGAATGGTCAGTGAGAGAAAACATTTGACATTTGGGTACAATACAAACAGAACTGGCCTTGTTCTGAACAAAACTGTGCTGACTGAATGGTCAGTGAGAGAAAACATTTGACATTTGGGTACAATACAAACAGAACTGAGCGTGTTCTGAACAAAATTGTGCTGATAGAAGCTGCACTGGTCAATCAGAGGAAACAAAAAAAACATGGGATTTATGAAATAATGTATTTTAGTTCGAAGCAGGACTGTCTCTAGAAGCCCAAATACAAATATAGCCCGTTGTGGAAGACCTCCGGATACAATACAGAGACAGTCAAGTCCCAGACGTGGCAGGATATTTTCCAGTATGGCTCTAGGGTTTACTATCGTAACAGATAACTAACTGGGGGCTTCTTTGAAGTCAGAGTGCATCTGCCTGAGTGACAAGGAACAACCAACTGCAAACAAATAAGCCAGTAAAACGGATGTACATGCAAAACTCAGACCCTGGCACAAAGCTGAAGTCCAAATGGATGAACAACGTGGACTTTCTGCTTAGACAATCATTTCAAGCTGTTATTATGAAGAAGCAATGTTTCCTTCTTAAGTTTCTACAGTGCGACTAAGCTAACTTACTGTTAGTCAAATAGCATGGATGATGATATATATGATTATCTTTCTTCACATGTAGAATTGTGTCTTGTGTGTGCAATCTGTCTTTGTATACATATCCACATAATCTCATATGATCATCAGTCCAAGATCAGCTCAGTGATCTTATTCTGCTTATATCATGTGGTAGAGACATAAACATATATGGAAGATATTTACCTCTTTGTCTTTCCCATTATCTTCTCTTAATCTAGTTTGCCAGGTGTCACTATAAGTTTTCAAGTTAATTTTCTTTGCTATATGCCCAAAAAAACTCCACTGTCTATAATTAATTTATCTTATGAGTTACATAAAGAAACTGGCCTGATTTATTCGTCTGTCTGTCCATTATGTGCTTGACACTCTCCTCAGTAAGCACATTCTTGCTATCTTTCAAGGTTTTTCTGTGTGTTTTTATTTGACTGTTCACTTGCATACAACAGCAGAGGTTCTATTTAGCACATTAGCACTCTGATCTCTCTCCTTGCAATGGACAGAAATTTTATTGATATGTTTTCCATCTTACAAGTGAATTCAAATAGCTGGTGACGTTTGCTCAAATCTCTTCAAAGAATCTTTAATTAGTCTGTTCAAAGATGGCTGAAAACAGGGGTGACAGCAATCAAGCAAGTAAAACAAAATGAATTCACTGAACAACACTAGAAGCTCAATGAATCAATAAATGTCAATAACGGCTCATGCAGAAACAATCCATAAATATGGTATGTCCTTTTCACCCTTTCTCCCTTTGTTAAACTTTCTAATAATTAAACAGTGTGCAGGCACAGATAGACCATTCTTTAACGGTCTGAGGAGAAAGGGGCTGCTAGGAGTTACAAGGTGATCTGGCCACTCAACACTCAAGGAAAAGGTGAGAAGGATATGCAGTAAGACAGTTACTGGTGCTCTCGGAATTGGAACTCTTTGCTTGCTGCTGAAGATGGGGTTCGAGTGTTCCGAGTGCTATGATGTCGGTTCTTAATTCAACATTCTAATAACTGTTCAGTGAATTTATTTTGTTCCAAGACAGTTGTGATTAACTTCAAGAAGGTTGTGGTGATTAACTTATTTAAGACAGTTCCCATTTTAGCAAATGTTACACTGTGGAGATGGCTATCATTGATGTTTTCTCACTAGTTAATCCTAACCTTAGTTTCTTCTGTTTCATTCAATTATCCTTCTTCCTTTTCTTCACTTCCTCTTCTGCCGTCTCAGCTGTCACGGAGATAAAAAGTTCTGGTTTTCACACTTCTGGCCACCTCAACACCTTTATGTTATCTGTCCACCTTCTTCTCCTTCTTTGGACTATGTCTCTCTCTTCCTTTGGAGGACACCTTTATGGGACGGCATCAAGAAGTACACATTTCTTAGGCAAACCATTTCATCTGCTGTCTAGAGAACAGATCAGTTTTGGTGGGCAACAATTCCTGTGTAACCCTGACCTGATCTCATAGGTTGGCTCCAGAAAGTATCCATCTAGCAGCTTGGACAATCATTCAGTGTGCCCTTTTGGCAAACAATCTCTTCCATACACAGCTGATATGGCTACAACTTTGAGCATGATTTTGTTGTATGACAAAACAGAGATAGAATACTCAGTAGTAGATCTATAACATAATATATTTTCCAAGCAGTAATTTTTGTGTGTGTGCATTTTACTGTGTCAATTATTCAGTTCCAAAAACTATTTTGTGGCAGCTTAATGCAATCCGCTATTTAGTGGAGTTATTTAAATATTTGGTGTCAGCTTATAAACCCCGGCGTAATGCTGACCACCTCCTACTGCTGATTGGTCTGTAAAAATATGGGTGCTCTTTCTATTTGCCTGATGCGCCTAAAGCGTAAAAAGGGATATTTTTTACTTATTAGCCAGTCTTTCTGATGATAAGCCAGTAAACTATACTGTGGCAGATTATAACCCAGTCAAACAGCTGATGCGGTTGGTAAACCATTTTGTGGCCACCTGTTTTCCCAAACCTCTATTTAGTGCAGTCATTCAAATATTTTGTGGCAGACTGTTACCCAGGATTTCAGTTAATGGAGTCAGTTAACCCTTTTGTGGCAGACTGTTACCCACCCAATCATCCTGATGAT